AAGTTACCTTTTTATTTGGTTGTTGCCTTTTTTTATGTTGTAGCCAAGTCACTAATCAATAAATATAAAATTTAAAGAACAATTTTTTATCTTTTCATTATTATTTCCAAACTCATTTAATTGCATAGGGTAGTTCTACATCCAAACAATTCTTAGAATAATAAAGTACCGTACCTACCCTTTTTAAATGCTAAGAGAAATTGTCAGGGTTATGAATATTCAAAAGCTAATTTAGATCAGTAAATTAGGATACAAGTTTTTGTGTGAGAATGTTTTGCCATTATAAGGCTATAAGGAATAGACATAATTTAAGTTAAAGAGGAGATAACGTTTTTTAACAGCCACAGTAGTTTTTTACCACAGGAACGTCACAACAACGCAGAGAGATTATACTGTTATACTGTCCACATGTGTCTGTATCACACTGAGACAGTAAATTTGACAAGTTGTAATATTTCAGGCATCAGGAAACAAAGTGAGCAAACAAACTGTGTTGTGTGGCTCACAGAACATTGTTCTCAATGGCAAAGTGATAGTGCAATCCGATGCTATCATCAGAGGTGATTTAGCAAATGTTCGTATTGGACGGCATTGTGTCATCAGTAAAAACTCTGTCATCAGACCACCGTTTAAAAAGTTCAGCAAAGGGTAAGAATGTCTCAGTTTGGTTGTAAAAATTTGCTAGTTTTACTGTCAACTATGTTAAGTCTAAAGCCCAATGAATAAAGTAATATCCTTCTACGATAGAAGACAGAAAATGAAAATTAGGCTATGAATCAGTTACACGTACATGTGTTAGGGAAAAAAGTAATAAACAGACTAACTGGGGGGAAACATGTAATGTCCATTTGATCTAACAATATAAGGTTGGTGTAAGATTGACAAGTAAAGAGCTTATTCCTTCTAAAACTATATGGAACAATTTAGGACAACTAGGATGGAGCTGGGTGGGTCAGTAGATAAAATGTTCGCCAGGTTAAAAGGTTGCCGGTTTCTTAAAAAAAAGTGTATAGCTTTATAATAGTTTGAAACTGGACCCAGCTGATTAGTTATTTGGGCTTTTAATCAAATGGTTCTGATTAATGAAACAGCTGTTGTTAGTCAGTAACAATGCTACTCAAGACATCTTGATCCATTCTGACACTCATCTTTCACTCATATTTGGGTTCAAAGGTGGCGTCCCCATTTCAATTAATAGTTAAAAATAGAAAAAATGATAAAACACAAGCAGAAATATTGGTCTTGATAGTGTCATTGATAAAACATATTCCCTTAGTAGATTTCCCATCCTTACGGAACAGTTGAAGCCAATTTTATCGTTAGTTCTGTCCGGTGTACTGCAGAGTCTGTGTTTTATTTACAATTCGTTTTTTTGTTATTTCAGTCATTTAAAACCCAGTTCGACAAAATAAAACGATATAATCATAAACAACATCTCATCCTCTATAACCAAACAGTAAAGCACAAATCATGAAATTAACTCTAAAATAATAGAAACACAATTTTGCCAACACTGGCCACCAGTGACACTGACATGACCTAGACATGAAAAACGAGCTTCAAAATTTACAATGGGATGGCAAGTCTACTTGTGTTGGTTAGTCTATGATAGTGTTATAACTTACTGATTCTATTTATTTTTCTTCAGAGTTGCTTTCTTCCCTCTTCACATGGGTGAACATGTCTTTGTTGGAGAAAACTCTGTTGTTAGCGCTGCAGTCATAGGCTCATACGTACATATTGGCAAAAATGTTGTCATTGTAAGTGCAATATATCTACTTAATGAAAAGATATTTTAGTTAAAGTTTATGTGCAGTATAACCTCATTAATCCTTCCTAAGTAATATAATAAGAGTTGTCTTAATCCTAATAGCTATTTAACAGCAGTTTGTTAACATTTCATACCGCTTCTTTAGGAATGCACGACTGTGTAAACTACACAGTTTTGTTGTAAGGTTTACTGTGATTTAGTAGTTAAATTGTTTAACACAGTCCCAGAACACTGCTGTGTTTATTTGCATTGCCACCAGTGCCATTAAAATAAACCCAAATAAAGAATGTATAAAATACCGAATTTCAAGGAGGGTTCCAAACAGTTCAAAATTCAACACTTGCCGATAGTGCGGATGTATTGATCCTCTTAAACCTGTACATGATTTTTCCTGAGTGCTTCTGAGCCCTCAATAGTAATACGAAGATTAGTTAGTTGAAACTGTGGATCTCATTGTATCGACCCCTAGACTCTTTTATTAGCTCCATCTGAGCACTCTCAAAAGAAATTTGCGTGTTGATGGATCTAGGGTTGGGCCTACCTGTTTTGCGAATAAAGGTTTATTCCACTTTATATAGAATATACGTCAAAATTTTTTATATTTAATACTGAGCGATAATATAATGTAACTTATTTGTCATTTTATAAAATTCTTACTAGGCCTTACAAAATAAAAGTATGAGTAAAAAAATCTCGAGAGAAACTCTTCTAACTGAACGTAATAAAGAGTGATTTTATACAACGTTTAATGAACAAAAAACCTAACACAGACGTTGATTTTAAGAAATTATTGCAGTTCCTCTGTTTTTATTTTTCATGATTTGGTTTTGCCTCTTACTTTACCTGGTTGCACTGTCTCATCATCGCTCCATTAGCTTCCGCCAACTTTTCCATAAATATTAAAACAATTTACAAATAACATCAATTTTACAAAATTGGATAACTATGTATACACAATAGTTTACACAAGTTTAACGACTTGTAACAGTGTTTTTCTTAGGTAATTTCCTCTAATAGATATTACAATTTTAAAAGAATTTTTTTTAGGGAGGTTCATTTGTGTCCATTTCTAGCAATAATTGGCTTTTAGTTCAGCGTTGAAATATGTTTCTGCTGTACTTTCACAAATAGTTTGAATATAATTTGATCAGGCGGCAGCCTACATACTACATGTTAAGGTAAGGGAAACGCGTAACATATATGTTTGTGTAGGGTCGCAGATGTGTGCTGAAGGACTGTTGTATGATAGAGGACAACACCATCCTAGGACCAGAGACTGTAGTTCCTCCGTTCACACGCTATGGTGGGTCACCGGGACTGGTGGTGGGTGAACTACCAGAGTGTACTCAAGACTTGATGATCGACTACACCCGCAGCTACTACGACCACTTTGTACCTCATTGAATATCTTTTAATTTAAAAAAAGATCATATTTATAATTTATTCACTTTTGTACCATATACAAATATAAGCTTTATTAAGTTAAACGTTTTGGATCTTGTTCATTTCGTTAACCTCTGAATTTCTAATAGGTGTTTAAATTTTTCCCCCTTTTACCTGCTAGTCATGTTTAAAACTATTTCAAGTTTGAAGGGTTGTTAGTGCAGTAGACTGATCAAACGAAGGCGTTGTTGAGGCAGCATTAGATTCTAATCTGTAAGGTCTGGGTGTGCAATCATGAGTTTACCTGTCTGTTGTAAGTCACCGCTTAAAAACAGTAACCGGCTCTTGTGGTCCTTATTGAAATCCTTACTGTGTGTGTAGGCAAAAAACTTCTTTAGTGTAGATTTTCCGTTTATTAGGGAGAAAAATAAAAAAAGGTAGAAATAAATCACTGAATAATCCCTGGTACTGTATTCAAAGGATTACATAATATTGTTTACTTATAAATACTGTACTGCAAATAATAATACGATCTAAGGTAAAGGCCTTGCCCGTTTTGGCACCTTATTTGAGAACGGGAGCTTTGTGTGACCTTCGCTCTATATATAGAACCTCTCATTGTAAAACCTGTATGCACTTCTCGTATGAGTCAACTAGCAATGTAATCAGACTTTTGGAAACTATGTTGTTGAAGTGTCTACAGTAAGTTACATGTACTTGATTTCTAAGTTTTATACTTAGGGACAAATCGGCATAACTATGACCTTAATCAGATTATACCTTCTTATTTCATTTTGATGATATTTTTTGTACTTTATATGTTCATTAGTTGTTTTTTCTGTTGAAAAAATCAAATAAACAATTTAGCTCAAATATTTTCTCCACTGGAAAATGGTTGATAAAAGTGTTACTTAATACTATCTACTTTTAAAACTTTAAATTTTTCTCTAGAGAAAAAAAAGACACAATAAAGATTTACAAAACATGATGGTTCGCCCAGGCATCTTTCGGCTTAATTTTATGAGAAAATTTGCAGACTCAACAACATATTTCTAATATTTAAATATGTAAATAATATTAATATTTAAACATACTGAATTGACTTCTTTTAAGTTGAATATTACAAGTACACATTTTGACGGGGCTTTTGGCTTCTCCGAAACCTGATTTTTAAAACATAGGTCTTAATATAAGAACATGAAAACTGGTCATAGCCTCCTCTTCAAAGGGTGATGAACTCAGCCATTGCAACATATTGAGAGACTTTATGATACTTTCTCAAAAGGTATTTAGGTTAGGTTAAACACTTTAATAGAGGCTAGAGCTTGAAATAGTCTACAAGTGGTGCCATAAGCCTATGCCCAAATTCCACTTAAAGCCCTACAAATATATTGGTAAAAAATAGCTGTAGCCAATTTGTAAACAACAGTATCATACCAATGCTAAGTTGGACAACAATTAATGCAACAAGACAAAGACAAGTATGGGACAAAAAATACTAAAAACAAGAAGAGCTTCAGCTGATTATTATTTTCTCCCCCTATACCGTACCATAGTATGGAGAAAGTATTGCTTTCATTAAGTATATATGAGGTAGCAACACTTTATAAAATTCAACTGGATACCATTTAGGTATCGAGCTTTGAACAGATTTTGCATCAACTTTGCAATAATCTCATATCCTAGAATTTTTCACTAAAATGCTTGTGATTTCTTTAGCTTTAGTAATGTTTATGGACATAAATAAGCAATAAATCAACTTTAACAAGTGTCTTTCCCAATTACTGAATCCTAGAGTCGACGAACTGAAGTATAAGAGGATGGGGTGACGGTGGGTTAAAAACACCGCCTTGGCGCAAGTTCAAAAACGCCGCCGAAGACTAAAATTAGTTCCTCAGTCGTGCGTCGGGCAGCGGCCGAACAGCGCCTTCCACGATATGCAGGTAATGGGCGGGAGGGGGTAAATTAGGTAGTCTTGGTCATTTATAACCTCAATATACCTGTGAAACCAACAATGGCATAACTACGTTCTAGGCCTGATACACCCGAAATATACATATTTGTAGTTGTATAATTATGATTTACTGTCATTTACCAAATTTTTCAAACATTTGCATTGATCTGTTATTGTAAGTAGGCACTTACAATAAACTGAAATATGGAAAGTATCAATTATCAATTATTTAAGATGGGGACGCCACTATGTGCGTATTTTAACCCAAATATGAGTGAAGGATGAGTGTAGGATGAGTGGCCGACATGTTCCTTAGACACAGCTGTTAATTAATAGCCCATACAGCTAATGGCAACTAAGGGACCTTATCCATCAAAAGAGTAGGCCTAGTTAAAATTGTATGGATTTTTCTCTGAATTAATTAGTAGTAGTAAATCATGTGCCGACATTATAATTTACATTCGTTAATTTGACATTTTACATTCAGAACGATACAATTCGGTTATAAAATAAAATAATTAATTATTTTCTTCGGGGAAAAAATCAAAATAGTTATTTTTTAAATTGATTTAACTGTTACCATGATCTATCTAACACTGTTATCTATTTTTAACTATTACCTACTACTCCTACCTTCACCTATATTTTACTCATGAGACCAATAAGAAACAAGGTGTGGAACCTAATTTAATACTGTATTGATAAATTGTAAATGATCATGGTAAAGGTTTGATTATTTCCCTCTTACAAATGAACCTTACTTATATGTTTCAAACAAACGTTACAACTTGCGGAAGCAGTGATATTCTAGTCCAGCCAATCTCAGCACGGTTGGTGCCACGTTATAAGGGGCCTACATTAAATTAGTTTTGGCACACGACTCCTCTTGGGTATAATGAATTCCATTGCAAACTGCGGGGGCGTGTAAGAGTCTGTAACGCCCGATCTCTTCTATTCTGGACGGTAAATTTATTGATTGTAAATTTACGAACACATAATGATAGATGATTGATTATATCTCTGGGTGCACGCGCAGACACCCATAGTTATATATGTGTCGTATAGTAACATGAGATTAATATTTTAGCTTCCTTTTTTGGCAAATATTACGTGTTGATTTGTGTTATTTTGTTCATATAAAGAGCAAATAATGGTGTCAGTAATATTCTCCACAGGAATATGACAATATGTATTCAGTGTTAATCAAAGCTGCTTTGAAATTAATGTGGCCCTGTCCTGTAGTAGTAGAGGTTTAGAAACCATTGCAAATGGAGGGGGGTACTTGCTTGTGTGGTGTGGTTGTGAAATATGCTATGATTACTATTAACGTACTATGTTTCTTTAACTAAACCTCAAAACTACACAACCAAATATGTACGCATACACTTTCATTTACCCAGCACTTTCAAACGTTTTAGGACGCAAAATACAAATAAAATCAAGCTCTACATTTTTTATAACAGGATTGAGAAGTCTATAACTAGAATCGTATCTAAAGTCAATGGTGTAATGTAACGCTATATTAGAAAAATGAAGACGTGAATATTGTCTTGTAATCATGTTTCATGTTCATAATCATGTTGTTGGCTATTGAAAATATATTGCATGATAACCAGTCAGGCTTTAGGAGAGGCTTCAGCACAACATCGGCTTTGCTGAACGTTATAGATCAGCTGTACAGAGCTAAAGATAATAAGCTCAATAGTGCCATGGTAACTTTAGACTTTGCCCAAGCTTTTGACTCTGTTGACTTCGAGCTACTAAGAGCCAAATTAAAGTATTATAACTTTGACCAAACAGCCCAAAATTGGTTTCAATCTTACCTTGAAAACAGAATGCAGGTAACCAAGGTGGATGGAGTTACCTCTAAAGCCCTTCCAAAAACATGTGGAGTGCCTCAAGGAAGTGTGCTTGGGCCTCTTTTGTTTATCTTGTATACTGCTGACATGAATGAAACATTGTCCCACTGTTCTCTCTTTTCGTATGCCGACGATTCACAGCTACTCTTCTCATTCAAAGATTCAGAGATTTTGCAGGCAGAACAGGCAATAAATGCTGATTTGACAAATATTTATCAGTGGTCAAAAAATCATTGTCTTAGGTTAAATACTGAGAAGTGTTCAGTAATACATTTCAGCAATTGCTTGAGAAACACTCTTTTAAGCCACCGAAATAATGTAAATATACTTTTGGAAAATGATTTATTGAAGGTTACTGAGGCTTTTAAAGTCCTTGGGCTTACGATTGATACAGAATTAAAATTTTCAAAGCAAGTAAAAACAATCGTACAAAGGGTCATATCTTTACTCAGAGTGTTAAATAGATTTAGGCATATATTAGCTGAGAATGTAAAATTACAAATGGTTAGATCCCTGGTAATGCCAATAATAAACTATGCTTTGCCTGCCTTTGGGTTTTCTTTGTCAGCTGAAAATTTGAATATCTTGGACCGCTTGCAAAATAATGCTCTAAGATTTGTATATGATCTAAAAAAATTTGATCACATATCACATATCAGAAAGAAGTGAAATGTTACCAGTGCAGGTTGTTTGCGTCCTTGAAACTGTTGCCATAGTACATAAAGTGGTCAAAACCAACAGACCCTCGGCTACCTCAAAGATAAACTAACCACTCGAAAAGAAATACGAGATAGGTGCACAAGACAGGATAGCCTACTGCATTTGCCTCGTGTAAACTTTGAATGTAGGTAGTAAGAAGGGGTTTTCTTTTTTCGGCCCTCAGGAATACAATTCCTTACCTGAAAGAATTAAAAATTTAAGTTATAAGGCTTTCAGACAAGAAACAAAAAAACTTTATTTGTAAATATAGGCTGGTTGAATTAGTTTTAGTTAAATTATTTGTTCTCTTTTATTATTGTATTGCAGACTTTGTACCTGACTTGAGTTGTTTTGAAAAGCAGTGTATTTATGTACTGAAAACCGCTTCAAATAAAAGACGTTTCTATTCTATTCTATTCTAATCAATGGCTGAAGTCAACCGCAACCCTCTTTGACTTTGACAGATCAGCTGTCCATTATTGCCATTGCCATAATCTTAATGACATAAAGCCAATAATGACAAGTTGTCGTGTTAGTTTTGAATTGTTTTGAATTTATATTTATTTGGTAAGTAAACTTGAATCTCCTCTACTCCCCGAAAATCCTAATTCTATTAGTTATTATACACAATAGCGATTGCTTATTTTTTAATCAAAAACTAAACCATGTTGATGCTTATCAATATGTTTGCAGTTATTTATAGTTATCTGTGTTAATTTTTATTGTTGTCTAGGAGAAAGCAAACTTAATATAATTTTTTAATATGGACTTTTTACTCCCGCTAAGTTAGTTAATCAATACCATAGTAATAGCTATAAAGCATTACACCTATATGTTAAATTTGGAAAAAGGGTTGTTAAAGCTGGAAATAGAAATATCGGGCTAGCTATAGAGTAACTTGGGGGTTTTGAGGTTAAACGAATATTTTCATTATCATGTCATGTTTGCTATATTTTAACCTTGCAAGCCACCGGTCCACCAAACTTAACATTTAAACTAGGGCCTATTATTTATCGATTAATGTATATGATTCTTATTTTGTTTTTACATTATTAATTATCGTATACTAATTACCCTTTTAAAATTCTTTTTATTTATTAAGATCCTTATTGATTTAAATGATTTCATGTAGGCCTTCAATTTAATTGTTTAACCCTTTTGATGATAGAATTTTTTGTCCGAAAAATGCTAGAGTTATGTTATTTATTTAACTTATTTTGTACCAAATGTGCTAGGCTTGCCAGGGGGGGGGCAAAGTCTAATAGTGTGTGAGAAAAATGGGTAAATGCCCTCGCCGCAGCAAACCTGCAGACTTAGCGAATTTCCATTTACCTGGCTGGATTTCTACTAAAATATTACCTGAAAATTAATTTTAATGAGTACCTAGGTTTGCTGCTACAGGGAAGGTATTGAGGTGTGTTTTTTATTGAAATACTAGCTGTAACCCGCGGGCTTTGCCCCGTTTAACTTCTTAATTTTCAAGATGATCTCGTTTGCATGGCTCAATCACGTCCTGGTTGAAGTTCGTTCGCTACGCTCACTCACCTTTAGGTTGGAGCTCGTTTGCTGCGCTAACTTTCCTTCAGGTTAGCTCGTTCGCTACGCTCACTTGCCTTCAGGTTAGCTCGTTCGCTACGCTCACTTGCCTCCAGGTTGAAGTTCGTTCGCTACGCTCACTCACCTTTTGGTTGCAAATTAGCTGTTGTCATAAATGTAAAAGAAATAATAGTGCTAGTGCTGCAACCTGTTGGTAATCCTTGTAACTTTAATGCTATTGAACATCACAGAACAGAACCAACTTGTTTAATTGAAACAGCTGTTAAGATTCAATAATTTCATTTCTCATAAGGTTAACATGGGAAACTCCAGAGCCACTGGGGTGGAGCCCGAAAGGATTTTTGAAATAAGAATATGCCTATATGTTAATCGGGAATGTGAGCTATCATCATGCCAAATTTCAGCCCAATCCGACCAGTATTTTTCGCGTTTACTTTTCCCATACATACAGCAACCACCTCTTTTTTATAATAGTATAGATTGGTAAAATTAGCTTAGTATGAAATAAACAAAATTGCCGAATTTGATAAAAATTTAAACTACAACAGTTTATCTTGTCCATAAGAATAACGTGTGAATTTTAAATTTAAAGATTTTTTAATTATCTCCGTAACCGTTAGGCATAAAATAACACTTCAGGATACAAAATTGTCTCTTTTTTTAAGCTCTACAAAATGTTCTCAAAAGAAATTGTGAAATTTTATGTTTTTAGAGTCAAAAATGAGAAAGACTAATTTTTACCGCATAAAAACCCCATAAGTCCCCATTCCCATAGTTCAATCATGCTGTTTTGTGAACTCGTTACAATAAACAAAGGTTTACACGTTTGTACCAAATTTAATCAAAATCGCATCATTTTTGCTCCAGTTATCTCGCTAACAGACACACACACACACACACATATACAGGGTGAGTTTCTACTGACCATGTTAACTTCGCCAGTGGGTTCTACTCTCTAAAAGGAACAAAAAAGTTCCTATAAACCCATGTCCGATTTTCGACCGTTTGGCTGTTTTGGGGGATTTTGTGTTTTTCTTATTTTATTAGACTTTGCTCCACAATTTATGTAATAAAAACTTAATCAATTACTTTAGAGAGTTGTAGTTAAAATCATTGGAAAGAACATTAAATTTGCTATAAATCAAAGGTTTCATTCAACAATTATACCATTACATAGTCCACGTTATATACAAAATAAAGTAAAAATGTCATTAAATTAATTAATTACGATAACTTTTATGAGCCTCCTTTGATACATAAACCTGCATTTATGCAATGTTGAAATGCATAAACAACTTGGCATTTTAATAATCTTTCAAATGATATGCTATTCAATACTATTATTGATATAAACCAGTGAGAAATTACTAATAAACTACAATAAAACACGGTTTACAGATTTTGTTTTTGCACAGTTTTACTGTTAATAATAATTACTGTATTTACTGTATTCATCATGTTGGCATAATCTTGATTGGTAAAAGGCTCCATATTTTAATAAATGTTGAAAAACTCATAATTGACTTGGAAATATAAAGTTAAAACAGCAAATTACTCAACAAGGTATGTTCAAACAGCTGAGTTATCTAGCTATAGATGACAAATCAATAAAAGCTGACTTAATCAAGCACAAGGTAAAACTAATTACACAGCATTTAAGAATCAAACACACTACATCTTTGAAAATGTGAAAAACCTTGAGTTTATACATTTTATTAATTCAGATAATTTTAATAAATATTTAAAAGTTAAAATAATGTACAAATTTTATCAGATAGTTCAATAAAATACATCATGGAGTATACAGTAATTATTATTAACAGTAAAACTGTGCAAAAACAAAATCCGTAAACCGTGTTTTATTGTAGTTTATTAGTAATTTCTCACTGGTTTATATCAATAATAGTATTGAATAGCATATCATTTGAAAGATTATTAAAATGCCAAGTTTTTTATGCATTTAAACATTGCATAAATGCAGGTTTATGTATCAAAGGAGGCCCATAAAAATTATCGTAATTAATTAATTTAATGACATTTTTACTTTATTTTGGTTATAACGTGGACTATGTAATGGTATAATTGTTGAATGAAATCTTTGATTTATAGCAAATTTAATGTTCTTTCCAATGATTTTAACTATAACTCTCTAAAGTAATTGGTTAAGTTTTTATTACATAAATTGTGGAGCAAAGTCTAATAAAATAAGAAAAACACAAAATCCCCCAAAACAGCCAAACGGTCGAAAATCGGACATGGGTTTATAGGAACTTTTTTGTTCCTTTTAGTGAGTAGAACCCACGGGCGAAGTTAACACGGTCAGTAGAAACTCACCCTGTATATTTATGAATTTGAACGGATGGTGTTTTTGGCCTCTGGGGACCTCAAAACGAAAAAGTAAATCGGTAGCCCGGATTAAGGTCTTACCATGAGACCTACGGTAATAGCTAATTCCCCATGTGGGAAATTTGCTAAAATAAAATTTTTCATCTCAAAAGTGCTAAGGAAATATATATCAGGCCTCGATCCTATGAGGAATCGGAAGAAACTGTCGTTGTCAAAACAACAACTGAGTCAACCGATATGCCCATTTGACTCACACAATCGAAACTCTCGCTGGTACAATATATCGTCGCTTAGCACTTTTCGGATGAAACATGAACAACGCGATTTCGTTCCATAGCACTTTTCAGGAAAAAGACGCACAATGATATATCGTCGCATAGCACTGAAAGGGTTTTAATTATGTGTTAACTCTTCAGAAATGTTTAATCCTGAACTCAAAACTCATGATTAAACAGCTCCAAAATGCCAAAAAGTGAGCCAATTGATTTAAAATATGATAAGTACATTGTACTCTTAAGTTTCAGTTCATAATTTCCAGTTTATATTTTTTTAAATTGTGTACAAAATTCTTCAAGAAGTAGGCTAAACTCAACTTAGTTTGAACTGTGGCTAGAGCCATTGACTTTTACATAGAAGTTAGAGCCATCAATTTTACAACCTTGAAAAATGATGTAGCAAATTTTCAAATGAAATCAACAACACAATTATTTAAAATTCATGTTAATCGGCTTAAACGCTGTTACCGATACTGTTGTTACGGCCGTTGAGCATATTTGACATCTTCAGACACATGCAGACCTTGGCATAGGCAGCGTGGTCGAAGTGTTTTAAAAGCCTGTCACCGCAGTCACACCCTTGTCACTTGATCCTCTCTTAAATTTGAAATTCACTTATCGTTTTCTACTTCCCTAAAGTATTGAAATTACTTTAACTATTTTTTATTATTTAAGTATTAAATTTAACTAGTGAAATACTTCTATATTATAAAAATTTGCTATTGTTGTTTTCTAGAACGTGAAGGAAGAGCGATGGCGACCCTTACCCACTGCATCACCGTCATCTCGGCTGCGAGCAGCACGCACGATGCCTCCATGGCTAGTGAGTATTTATCCAACTCAATAGTCAAAATTGGATAAAAGATATGTGCAGCAAAAAGTTCAAGGACCTCTATTTCCACCAAAGGGGGAGCGAGCTGGCGTAGTGGTTACTGAGGTCCCGGGTTCGATCCCCGCCAAGTCACCAATGGATTTTATCTATGTGATAATGCCGCAACTCCTAGGTCTAGCCTGAAGTAATGTGAAAAACAATCCCAGGCTCGTGCCTAGAGTCCTAGGTCAAAAAAAAGGCCACCAAATAAAAAATGGAAGTATTTTTCAATTTTTTTTAGGTTCCAGGTACCTTTGAAAATTTCAATAATTAATTGATTAACCGTGATTTCAGACTGCCATAAGAAAGAGGTTATATCTGCTCCCTTTTCCTGCTGATGAATAGCTTTGTAAAGATCTGTTCTTTAGCACTTATACAGCATTAGGATTTAACATTTTTTTACACCATAAAGCTCCGTGTAAAATAGATAACTGAACATAAAGGTGTCAAGGCTACTTCAAATTCAAATAGAAGGTACCCAATAGGCAAGATTCCAACAGACAGTAGACGGTAGCAAGTTTTCGCTACATAGTTACATGGTTATGGAGATGTACAAGACAAGTCTAGTCTTGTTGGCTGAGCTCCAGGCAAGTGTATATTTAGGTTCAACACAGCCGTCGTGTCTCCATCCACAAACCTGTCTTTTCTTTCCAAACATCCGTAAATTACCAGAAAAACACAAACCTTCTGTAATTATGGTAGAGATGATTTATGAATTTACAGTTGGTTTTGTACCCCTGGTTTTTTATCCATTAGGGCCACATCATTATTCTATTTTTTTTTCAGATAATTTTAAACATTTCATTTGTTTCATTGTTGTATTGGTCATATGGTCAATGGTCCTGGAACCGCAATTACATTGCTCAAATTTCTTTATAAATATTTTGGAATGAAAACTCTCAAAATATAGAAATTTATAGTTTAAATATTATAATATTGTGTTTGTGATTTAAAAAAAGGTACAATTTGAAACAAGGTTTTTGTTCAAAGAAAGCAACAAATAATTTGTTTTTAATTGTTTGAAGATTTAACTAAAACAAGAATGGGGTGCAGTAAGTTAATTAATTTGACTCAAATTCACTGAAAAGAGAGCAGCATGTGACAGACCAGTTTTATATATCCTGAGTTGAAAATTAATCGTAACACAAAACACAGCTCATGACAAAGTTCAGGCTGTGGCAAAAACCTATGTAAGAAGATCGTTAAACAAAGACTGTGATTGTTTGAGTCTTGAGCCTTGATTTGTCTTTTACATTCGACTTTTTATTTGAGCTGATTTGGGAGGTATTTGTAGCTACATTAAATGGTACAATTCTCAGATTATATAAGTGAGGAAAGAAATTTTATTCGTAAAAAAACAATTAACCTTCATAAAAGACAGTAAAAAACACATTTTTTAACGTCTAACAAATTTTCATCTAATTGCTATCACTAAAAATTTTAGGATCTAAATATTAGGTTTGATTACCTTCTACCTTTTATGTTATGTTATGTTTTTATAAACTTAAAAATTGTAACTCTATACCTACCTAGTTTGTAAAGATCTTTGTGTATGATCTACAATAGTAGGTTGGGAAGGTTGTTTTAAAAATACATTAGTTTACTAAGTGCCAGTCTTGTAGCCTGGATCATTTATCAAAAGCCCAATGTTCAAGTACAACTTTGGTCCAGTTTCGAACCTTTGAAAAGATTTTGACTTAGGATCGAACTGGCTGTCAACCTTTTGATTATTAGTTGAGAAAATAACCACTTAGCTTCCCAGCTATAATTGATATCCTTAAAGTTGTAAGTTACCTTAATTGAATTTAAGGGGGACGCAATATCTACATATTTCTTTTAGCGATATCCGTTATGTATGTTTCAGCAAGCACGAACTACGGCTGCGCCCCCGCCTCCCCCTCCCCCTGTTGTACCTCCGCCACCAGACCCTGACTATGAAGTCATTGAGTTCTCCGCACAGCAAGCCTACTCCAACACACCCCCACCTCGACCAACTCCGCCAGGTATGGTCAACTAACTTCAGGCTGTTTCATTGCCAGTGTTATATGTGATACTGATTTCCAAAAATTCTTTATCAGACTGATTCTCTTCCATGTACAAGATATAGTCATGTATGTATAACTTCAAAATGAAATATACAGTCTAAACCCACCAACCAAAATAAAGGGGGTGAGGCCATTTTGGATAACCTATTTCTTCACGTAATCAATGACTATAAAAAGATGTACGATGATAATTCTTTACGCTGTATTAAAAATCTTCACAGTGGTTGCCAAATGGTTGCACCATTGAAGACAGTTGCCGTTACCTGGCCAATTTTCAAATAATTTTGAATTATCTATTTTTGATTATTAACCCGAGCTTTGGTTTAACAGGATGCGATTGAAAGTGGTTTTAATTGTAACTAAACTAACTTGTCTTTCACATGAGCCCTGCAGTTTGGACCCAGTATACATCTTTACATGCAGTTTAACAATTTAATTTAAAATTGAACAAATTATAACCACTTCAGCTACGCTATGGTGTCAAAGAGATCAAGAAATCGTGAACCATAAAATTGGTACATGACAACAGATTCAAATTTTAAATTGTAAAATTTAATTGTTTAGGTAAACCAAGAGCAGATAACCAGAGATGTGACCTTTGTGGATCATCGGTTCCGGCCGTCCGTTGTGAGAAATGCTCTCAACAGAACTTCTGCCATTCCTGCGACGAGATGTATCACCGCCACCCCAAGAGACAGACGCACGTTCGCAAGGTGATCTGAGTGGCTGTGGATACAAGCATGGAGTTAAGGATATTGAAGTATTCATCTCATCTATATAGATCAGCTGTGGCCACCATTTTATCACAGACAAAAAGAATTAAATATAGACTGTCAGCCCTGCTGCGGTTACCAGGTGCTGGCGTACGCGGTACGTAACTACACGGTGCTCCCAGCGGTGTGCGCCAGAACCTATGATAACCATGGTAACTGCAGCACGGCTGACAGTCTATATTTAATTCTTTTTGTCTATGATTTTATTAAAAAGATATGAAATGAGCCATTCACAGACAGACAAAATTTGATTTTCTGCCTAAGTATTTTATACTATGGTAGTAGATGTGACATAAAATATGCTACAGTATCAGCAAGTCATCATTATCAGTTTTACTTGAAATAATAGCTGGTGTATTTGAAAGAAAACAGTATAGTTGGCACCAAATCACGCTGCCAGTAGCTCAGTTAAACTGTGTCCTTTTATTCTAAAACTGGTAAATGTTTAACTCTCTAATAGTCAAAGGTAATTCATAATATTACCTATCCTGTGATGATGAACTGATGTAGTTGAAGTAAAAAATAGTAGTATGAAATTAATGGGGAAAGTTTGATACATTGACAATGTTTTATTTCTTAGGAAGCTCTTTGAAGATAATGTTGATATATTGAGAATTTTTTGTCTATTTCAAGCCCCTGGACAGTGGACGCCACTCAACTCTACGCCCCCCGCTGCCCCCTAAAGGAGAGAACAGCTCCGCCCCAGTCCCTCCCCCCCGTCGCCACAAACGCTCCGGTCGCACCACTCCAGTTCCCATGGAACAGGTGAGTCATAGCAACAGATGATTTTCGTTGTTTACTGATTTGATGTACACCCTTTAGCACAACAGGTGTTCATTATTGCATTTTTTATTCATTGTATTAGTTTTTAGAGAAATGATCACTTTCGACTTTTGACCTAGGATTCAGAAAGAAAAAATGGGTACGCAAATAAATCCAAGGCAAGAGTTCCAGGCGGTTAACAGTCTACAAAATGATCACTAAAAGCCCCCTTGTAGAGATGCAAGTTATTGTGGTTTCCCAGCAACACAACAGCAACGTTTTTTGCCCACCTATAACAGATTGCCGCATCCTTTTATTTCAGCAACATTGCTAAAAGGTCGTTACCAAATGTCCCTTATAGAGAGTCCGTTATCAAAGGGCGTTGTGAAAATGAGTACCGGTACCCTGGCCTATAGTAATTTATTGACTGGGCCGACATTTTTTTAATTACTATTTTGTGAATCAGTTGTACTTCCGTACCTCCATAACATCTTTTTTGCTGTTTTTGAAATTTTTATTTTTAATGGGGATTTCCCCATAAAATAACAGAAAAATTGGATTTTCTCAATAACAGCTTAAACAATTTTGATGAAAATTTAGTATGTAGTAGTGCTTCCTCCTGTGCTTCAAAAGTTATTGTAACATGTTATTTTCCCATAAACCCCCATAAATAAAAAAAATAACAATAAATTGGATTTTGTAAAAAAGCCAGTTTGATAAAAATTAATGTGTTGTGGTCCTTATAATTCTAAACAAAATAGAGCAATCCCCCATTTCTGAAACAATTATATGGTTCAAAAGTTATGGCTACTTTCGTGATTTTCCCTATAAATATCATAGTTACTTCCACCGCTTACCCATGATAAAGGTTGTTGACAAGCTAATAAGAGAAAGTATGTGTCAGATTGCTGATTCCGTTTATTTGAGACTGTTTATATGAACACCTGTTGATGCATCATCATCAATGTTTTGAAGATTTACCAATTCATTTGTCTTCCTAAAGAACCATGTAATAAGTTCATATTCAACCTTTGTCAAGTCACTTTACTGAATCACATTTCATCCACAATTCTTACAGATGGTGTAAGCACATGTATTTAAACATTTAGCTTATTTAACAGCTTTTGAGGTGGATAATCTGGCAAGTACAAATCACAGTTTGGTTTTGCATGATAATCACAAAATTGCTTTTTTCGAATAATTGTAATACAGTAGCTGTTACATAGCTTTGTGTCATATTTTTTGTGTGAAATTGATTTTCCCTAAAACTGTTGGCCTTTCAACTAGTTCTTCTTCTTTCGTGGAAAGCAGTTTGACAATCTTTTTCTTAGGTCTTTTTTCATATTGACTTTACTTGTTAACATTTCCTTTTAATCTTTTACGCACTGTAGTTTCTAAACTATTTCACTCTTAGGGTTTTATCACTGTTTGTTGTGTTACTTACATTAACAGTAATATGTTTTTATCAGTAATAGTAAAACTATGTTAGATTATGGGTGTAGCATAGAGCACAAGGGCCTAGATTTTTTAGGATTTTTTGAGAGGATAGCAGGCTTACCTGAATGGGAAAGAGTCCAAACTGGCACAGGAAACACAAAACAAAACTTTACACTATATACACAAAACATTAGAATATTTCACTGTCACTGACAGCATTTTCAACTAAGGAAGAGATAGTTTTCTTGACTAGAAGATAATATTTGACTAGAAAACTATCTCTTCCTTAGTTGAAAATGCTGTCAGTGACAGTGAAATATTCTAATGTTTTGTGTATATAGTGTAAAGTTTTGTTTTGTGTTTCCTGTGCCAGTTTGGACTCTTTCCCATTCAGGTAAGCCTGCTATCCTCTCAAAAAATCCTATGTTAGATTATGATTACCTAATTATTTTGAAGACCTATCTTACATAATGCAATGTTTTAGATCATTCGTTACAGTAGTCCCCCTCTAATGGGACCGGACCTAGCTCGGATAACTCAAAAGATCGGTTGAAACGGGCAATCCCTAAAAACATAACTAAATGAAGTGCTATTCATTTGGAATTGTATAATCATTATTTTGAAGTCGTACTTGCTTATTTATAAGATAAACTACACTTATCTCTTTTTTTCTTATTGATAGAAGAGTCACAAATACCAGAACAAAAACACGGTTAAGTCAAATACTTTCACTGGAATAAGTTATAGTTGTAGGCAAGAGTCAATAATAATTCTTATTTTAATAACTTTGGTAGGCTACTTACTCTAGGGATAAGATAATTTCAGATTATATTACAAAAACAGCTGTTTTCATAAACATAATGGTTTGTTGTGATAAATACAAAATAACTTACGGAAAGTAAATAAAAGAAACGTCTTATAACACTTAAAACATATATTTACGCTTATACTGTTACTCACAAGACGGTAAATATACAAAACAGATGGTAAGTGGTGATCGATTTCGATTGGACACTCCAATCATCATCAGACCCAATAGGCGAATGACAAGAATCTTAATGGCGTCCCTACTTATACCCTATTGGCTACCGGAAGCACCGGCCAATACATTTTTATAAGTACAACTGGAATCAAAATGTATTTGTTCATTAATCAACTTATTTCTATTTTTACATTTTCCTTATAAATATACAATTCTTCCCAAGCATTCATTACATATCCTTTCTTACAATTCTTTAAAATATCTAGACTATCCTCAATTTTTCCTAGTGAGTGCCCATTTTGTAACAGGTGTTGTGCGACATTTGATCTTTCCGGTTTGTTGTTCCTCCACGCAGATATGTGGTTTTTGAAGCGGTTAACGAAGTTCACAGTCTGTCCAATGTAGAAGTTATCACAATCGTTACAATTAATTTTGTAGATGCCCGAAGCGTCGAATTTGTTGAAATTTTCTATTTTCGGATGCAGTATTTTACTCATGGTGTTCTGAGTCCTGTAGGCTATTGAAACTCCGTATTTCTTGAATCTGTTAGCAGTCCTTTGTGTCGTAGTCCCCGTGTAGCTAAATGTGATATATCTGGTGTTTTCCTCTTTTATCTCTTCTAATGTTGTTCTGCTGTGTAGTGTATTCTGCCTATCGATTTTCCTCCTCGTCTTCCTTGCGATGTCCTCTATCGTCTTGGTTCGAAATCCATTAACTTGAGCGATCTTCTTAATGGTGTCCAGTTCTTTCTTCCTATTAGCTTGGCTAAGTGGGATCTTATAGGCACGGTACAGCATAGATCTAAAGGCTGCGGTCTTGTGGATTGTCGGATGGATAGACTTCCTGTTGATTGTAGTGTCCGTTTGCGTAGGTTTCCTGTAGATGTCAAACTCTATCTTGCTGTCTTTTCTCTCTAATGTGAGGTCCAGGAAGTTGATCTTTTTGTTTTCTTCAAACTCGTTGGTAAAGGTGGTATTCTTAGTGACATCCTGTGGAGATAAGCGTATGGTTCCCATCGTCAAGCGGGAGCGGAATGCCGAGATTCCTAGAAAGCGACGGTTTATCCGAACTTTTGTCAAAGCAAGGTCGGTTAAAACAAACAGTAACATTTTACGCTCAAGAACGGATAATCCGATTATCGGTTAATGGGAAGTGGGTTAAGAGGGGGTCTTCGGTATGAATAATATATGTTTTTGTTGAACATTTCTTAAACTAAACCAAACTTTGGCAACACTATACTTTATTATTTTACTTTATATTTGTTTTACAAAATGTGTTAAAGAAAAAACTTCAAACACTTAATTTCCCTTGAAAGATAAAGCTTTTGGATTGTTATTAATTTTCAAGAACTTTCTTAAGTTAAATAGCTTTGTTTGTCCGAGCTATTGAATAAATTATCCTTCCTATATCCATACAGTAGAAGGTAGATGTTAGGGAATGAGATTTCAGTAAGCAACACTCATGAAAACTACAAAAAATAATTCATTTATCATATTTTTCCTGTTAAATAAATACAAAGTTTCTGCTGTAGATGGGTGCATGTTCAAACCTGAAATGGTTATTGTTCAGAGGGGAAGGGGTGCAAAAGTAGGTATAATATTGTAGATTGTTTGTAAAAGTTACCTTTTCATGTTTATTAGTATACTCGCACTTACGAAAATATTTTTTTCTTTTAGAAATAGTTCAAGACAAAAGGTTTTTCCGAGAAACATTGTAATCTCAATAAGATTGTCAAATTTATTCACCATACTTGTCGAGAGATAAACGAGAATGAATAAATGACTTAAATGTTACAGGAATGTGTTTAGTATAAGCGTTATCGTTTAACACTTTTGATTACCCATTTTAATTTATTTTACACAATGATTGAGTTACATTATTGAGAAATAACTAATTTTCTTAATTAATTTGTTACTGTGCTACTTTTGCACCTCTCTGTATCTCTGACGTGCAGAAAAATAATGAATTTTTACCGTCATATTTATGGTGGAAAGATCAAACTCATTGTTTTGAAACTCACTAAGGAAATAAATACCTTTGTTCTCAAAGTGTTGACCGTTGGATGTTACAGACGCAGCCTACCAGGCCGGGGGTGAGTGCAGGCGTTGTTGGAAGCCTGAAGCGGATGATGGGAGGTCGACCGTTACCAGCGCCTCCATGTAAGCCTAACGGTTTACTATATTATAGTCAGATTCTTTCAACTTTGTGACTGGAAGAGTGTTTCAGTCAAAAGGCTGGAAGGATTCGACATACAATGTTGTACCTAGTTTACATTGCAAGTTTGTTGTAGGACTGCTGTTCATGTAGCTGACTGCTCGCTCATGTTACTTCTGTTGTAGTGACGAGAGATCCGCGGTTGTCTGCTTCAACTTCGCCACTCACTTTCGCAGAACTCTCTGACCACCAGGTAATTAAATTTGGAATAACATTTGTGAAAAAATTGTGATTAAAGCTTTATGAGTTAAATGAGAAATATTTTGGATTGGAAAATCGTGCCTAAACCTATATGGTTGTGTAGCTGAGTTGATAGAGATTGTCTAGCAGTAACCTTTTTGATCAGTTGAAGAGGCCTTAATCACCGTTCTGAATCAATGGTTTCAAATAAAGAATCAGCATTTTTTAGTGAGTAACAATGCTACACATGTCACACAACTATTCTATTCTGACCCTTATTGTTTGTTGCAGCCTCCTAGTAGAGACAGTGGCTACCTAGACTGGGAGATGGACAGCAGACACAGATCTGGTAGTCTAACGGCCCTCAACGCTCCCGGCTTCACACCACTCATGCACGTACGTAACTTGTGTAGATATAAATAGATGGATTGTAGACAAATCAAAGAGAAATCATTCTGAAACTATCATTTTAAGAAGAAGAACTATTGGAAATGTGTGCAGATCTGAATAACTGAATTTTATAAAATTATAGAGTTAAAAGTGCTTGTGTTTCTTTGTTGTAAAGACAAAATTAAGAGTGTTGATTTACACTTCACTAATATAAATCTACATTTTTGAGTTATATTTGGGATGCACAGTTTCTTTGAGTTCTCTTCATAGTATTGAATTATTAATTGATGTTGTCAACTCTTGTTCGATAAGTTAAGTTGAAAGTCATTGCAAACATATTAAATTGTAGTAAACTTCATGGCGTCCCCATCTTAAATAATTGATAATTGATAGTTATGATCATTGACATTTTTACGTATTAGACTGTTTATGGGGCATATGTCCTCCAAGACTTAACCTATTAGAACCTAATAAAACTTAACTTATATGTTGATGTTACAGGCGCAGTCCATGGCCACGCTCAACTGTCCTAGTTGTCACCACCATGGGCTGGTCTGGGATTGGAACATGGGTAACGCAGGTCCACCCTGGGGAGGAGGGATACACACTAACACCTGGCATGGGTCTGCCATGCTGCCTCCTTACAGGCCCGTGGATGAGATGGCACGACGGGGCAGTCTTAGGGCTCCTCCCCGTCGAAGCCGACGCGACCTCACCACTGACGACGAGGACGATCGTCGCAGGAACGCATCACCAGTCCGGTCCAGACGAGGAGTTAGTGACGACTCGGACGACGAAGTGATGTCCCACCGCAGCAGCAGAAGACACAGAAGACGAACATCCCCTGTGTCAAGAAATGTTTCACCAGCCTTGTCGAGAAGAAGCTCGAGGAAAAAGAGTTCGGTGGGTGTTGAAGAACTGATTGCTAGAAGGGTGAAGCAAAACGAAGAAGAAGCTAGGAGACGATACGATGATGAAACAACATCCAACAGAGGTGGAAGGAGGTTTGACGACGAGTTGAGTAACAGAGGAAGAATGTACGATGACGATACAATATCTAACAGAGGAGGAAGAAGGTACGATGATGACAGAATGTCGGTGAAAAGTGGGAAAATGATCGATGAGATGTCTAACCGTGGTAGAAAGAATGATTTTGATGATTCAATGTCCAACAGAAGCCAGAGACTGGACGATGACGTGATTTCAAACAGAAGTCGACGATACGACGATGAGGTGTCTAACCGAGGAGGTAGACGAAGGCGACGAAATTCTCAGTCATCAGGTTTGCCAAGAAGATATCCGAGGAATACAAGCAGTGAAGACTCTGGGGACGAGATGTCTGACGGGATGAAAAATAACTCATCTGTAGCAAAGAAGAAAGAAATGGGCACTGACACCATTGAAGTGAAAGAAGACGATATCAATATACCTAGTGATGTAGACAAACCCCTCGGTCCGATCCCGGACCAAGAGTGGGAATGTGATCATTGCACTTTTGTAAACCCTGCGGGAACCAGAGTGTGCACTGTTTGCTGCAAAACCACGAACAATCCTAAGGTAAAACCTATTAAACCTCCGCTCAAACAACAAACGATTAGTCAGAGACCTCCAGAACAAAAGGTGAACCGTCCTTTACGTCAAGATTCGAGCACATTGCCTTTAAAGGAAAACACTACTCAGTTACCAGTTAGTACGCGGAAAGAAATGGTCAAAGAAACGAGATCACCTCCCCCACCGAGACAGCAAGCAAGCACCGAGGGTGACAAGACTGATGCTGATCTGGCAGAGAGAACCAAGAGGCAGCTGAATGTGTCTACGGAACCTGCTGATAAGAAGAAAGGTAAACGGCGGAGAACCATTTCCTTTTGGCTGGGGACAAAGCTTTACTCCTGATTGTTCTGTGATCTACGTCTTTTATATTCAATAAACATTTATTTGCTAAACTGTTTTATTTATTTATGACGATGCCTTAATCCAACAATTTGTTTTTGTAATTGTGGTATTAATTATTAATTATGTTTTTATCAACTTATTGTAAGTGCATTTTCTTGAAATTTAAAAATAGTACACCATACAGGTATTATCACTAGTTAATTTTTGAACTGGGCTTTTTAAATAAAAGGTTAAGGGGTAACAGAAAATTTTAACTCCATATTTATATTAGAATTAAGGCATTGTCATTTATATATTTTTCAGAATTGATGCACACAGAAAAAAAGACTACATCATGTTTGGACAATCAATATCTTATTTCCTAGTAAAAAGCTTAAGTTACAGCCAACAGTCTCTAAGTGTGCTTTTTGCGTGGAAAGTTGGTAGAAAAACCAAATAGAAGGAACAGAGTGATTTTCTTTCAAACCCATCTCACACTGTTAATAGAAGTAGACATAACATTCCTGTGCTGTAGAAACAGAGTACTGAGAATTGAGCCTCTGATATTGTAAGACAATTTTTATAACCAGGTCAAACTTTAGTGTCAACTTATGGTTAATTATAGCGTCTTATACATCATAAACTATTATAATCTAAGGAACCGAGAGAAAAATATAAACAATTTTGACAGTAACACGTGTGAGTGGATCATTCAACTTTGTCCTATTGAATATGAAATTGGCTTCAGCATCCAAAATTCAATGGTAGTATGCAATGTTAGCCTCAATTATTTAGTGTTAGTTTGCTAACTTAAACACTCATAAATAAAATATTAAAAAAATAACTGATGTATTGCAGCAATTGATTAGGTAATGCATTATGATCGCAATTTTAAAAGGTCTGAACTTTGATATTGTTACTAGTTAATGTTTCTATGACGTTAAAAAATCAATATTTTAAGGAAAGCCAAGTGGCTAGTACCTTATACCTAGTAGTAGTTACCTTATACCTACATTTGTATGGTCAAAGTAAAGTGTTAAAGTATTAAGAACTTTTTAAAAAGAGGTGGAGTTCCAGGTGCTGATAGATGCACAATAATAAGTCACAAAATATAACGTTGCTATTTCTACTAAGGACCTTTTTAGAGAGAATGTTAAAAATGAGTTTTTAATTTTGTTCCTATTGAGATGTTTTTAATGGATAGTACAAGTACAGACTCAGTTTCTTAAAACAGATTTAAATGACCTTTAGTGCATAATTCAAATGTATTCTGTAAAAGAAAATTATCTTTGCTTCAATTATTTATAGCAGACTTAAACTGTAGTCATAACCATAATATGCAGTTTTTCTTCTGGTTTTTAAACTTTTACTACTGAAAATACCTTCATTCATTTGAACTTTTTCCAGAAAATGATGGGGCGGAAAACTCAACAACACTCAAGACTAAAATTTCAACTGGAACTTCACCTCCACCTCAAAGTATTTCAACTCAAGTAAGTTAATTAATAAATATAACCATAGATAAAACATAGTCCCTTTGGCAAGACCACACACAACACTGAAGAAGCTTTTCCTTTTCACTTTGTATCTATTATACCAATGTTATCTACATATTTAAATTTGACGCTGTAACATTTCTTGATAAAATTGTAATAAAGGAATTGTCTATTGTCTATTGATATTTGGACGCTCCTTAATATTGTGTCCCCAATTCATGAAAGTAATATCCTTTATTGTTGTAAGATTAGTAACTGACTATTCAGTACATGCTATGAAAAAGTCACATTGGTATACAATACGAGTAATGGTTCAACTATTGCAGACTTACGACGTTTTACAAAAGCCGAGACTCAAGCGTGCAACATCTCTAGCAGACCATGAGTTGTGGAATCCTCATCGTAACTTCAGCAGTCGTCAGTCTGTAACCAGCGACAGTCAGGTGAGGCCAATGTTTAACATTGTAAACACGCTATTTACAGAACTCTGTATTAACCATACCTTGTATTTATTGAATGATTTTTTACTTTTATAACCTATTTTTGAGTCCATAAAGCGTAATGTTATTAATTCTCCAATACCTAGGATGTGTTTAATATAATTCAAATAAATGATTAATTTAGTGACAAATATCAATGTTTAAAAACTTGATTGCAAGTTTCATCCATAAACTACCAACTTATCAATTATAAAATATGATTAAAACTCAATTTTGGCAACCAAACCGACATGATCAAAATAGGTACCAATTCTCTGAGATAAATTAAACTATTTCTTAAAAGGATGTGAATTTAATTTTTCTTTAGTATTAAAAATGGCTTTAGCTAGCTGCATACTGATCGACCTAACTACTAATATGAATAGAAACTTGCTAAATACAACATTTTCTCACTTTGAGCTACTATACTTTTTTATACTAACTGTATATAATGCTAACAGTAGAGTTAATGGATGGATTATTTTGATATTACATTGGGTTTTTATTGTTCTCCCTGTTATCCAACTTTCCACCTTGTCCAACATTGATGTAACCGGTTTAAGTCGGATTATTGAAACTTTACTGGTAAAGATTAATTTAATAATACAGTACATTGTATCACAAATAATCTGTCAAGCGTATTGTACAGCTTGTAAATAAATAAACAAATAAATTACAAACACTGTACATTCCAGTATGTCTCTAGTTTACCCAAAAGTTTTGTTTGTTGAGTTTGACGTCCTGTGTTATCAGAGTCTACCCGTGACGCCCCCACGAGCTCACAGTCCCGAGTTTGAACTCGCCCCGAGAGAGTGGGAGCTTCGCCACGTTGAGCCGCCCCTGAGAAGCTCGTCACAGCTGAGCCGACGACCTTCTGAACCTGCTTATAATGTTTCTAGGGTTAATCTTTTGTTTTTTGAGAATGATGCATGTGTTTTCCTAGAAGGTAGATCTGCAAGTCGTCTGTGCGGTTTTGGATTCGCTTGCTCCGATTTAATTTCTGCAAAATAACAGAATTTAAAGTGAAAATAGTTGAGGCCCAGTAAAATATTTGCACAATCTACAATATCTGCATTACTGGAAGTATTTTCATGCAGTTATTTGGGTTCCATTGTAGCTTTTATTATTAACCTCCTCCTCCAGTAATATTTTTTAATCTACATTTTTATGTTTTTTTTACATTATTGGAAACCTGTGCACAACAGTAATTTCTAAAAAAAAAAATACCACTAAAATATACTTAATTAAAAATGAAAAATTAACCAAACAAAAATTTGAGACACTTTAAAGAACAATTTAAAGAAGTGGTATAAATATGTGCATAGAGTAATTATACAGGGTTGGGCAAATGTGTGGATACCCCTAGTTAACTTTTTAATGTTTGACACCAGGAAATCTAAACTCCACATACCTTCATAAAAAATAAAACTGCACTTTTTGGACGGTATCCCAATTCTTCCTGGGACCCCAAAATGGGGTATTTTGGGGGTAGCTCCAAAATTTTAAATGTAAAGCCCCATTGAATGACACCTCATTTTAAAGGCCTTTACTAAAGAGAAATATCAGCGAAAACTAGAGGTCTCTATCTCAACCCAGTACGACATGGCGGTCATTTTAAATTTTCATCAGCCTGAGAGAAACTTTTAATGAGGTTAAATTGTACAATGTATTTTCAAATGACCGCCATGTCGTACTGGGTTTAGATAGAGACCTAAAGTTTTCGCTGATATTCTTCTTTAATAAAGGCCTTTAAAATGAGGTGTCACTCGATGGGGCTTTACATTTAAAATCGTTGAGCTGCCCCCAAAATACCCCATTTCGGGGTCCCGGGCAAAATTGTGATACCGACCAAAAAGTGCATTTTTGTTTCTTATGAAGGTATGCGGAGTTTAGTTTTCCTTTAATAACCCGCTAAATGTTAATATGGGATATTGATGCCTACATTTAAGTGGGTTCTCCCAGGCTGATTAAAATTTAAAATGACCGCCATGTCGTACTGGGTTGAGATAGAGACCTCTAGTTTTCGCTGATATTCTTCTTTAATAAAGGCCTGTAAAATGAGGTGTCACTCGATGGGGCTTTACATTTAAAATTTTGGAGCTATCCCCAAAATACCCCATTTTGGGGTCCCGGGTAAAATTGAGATACCGTCCAAAAAGTGCAGTTTTATTTTTTATGGAGGTATGTGGAGTTTAGTTTTCCTGGTGTCACCCATTAAAAAGTTAACTAGGGGTATCCACACATTTGCCCAACCCTGTATGTTTCTATAGTGCCAGCTAGTTTCGAGCCTTAAGGGTAACCATATTCAGATTCACAAGGTCAAAAATAAAGATGTCAAATTTCCGCTGTGTCATGTTGCTCTTGTTAATGTTTTAAGTATTTTTTTAGACCATTATAATAATAATATGTATTTTTTTATTTCTGCAATTATGTTTGTTTTTATGAACTACGTTAACCTCCTTCAAGTGATTTTTACTACTGAAACAATTTCCCACAACATCAAACAAGGATTACTATATGCAAGTATTTGAACCACATATAAAACAGTAATTTGGAGCTAAACAATCTTTTTAAAACTTGATCGTATTGTCTTATTTTACTTTTTTTCTAACCCCAGGATGGTGCAGCATGAGTTTATTACGTTTTTTGAAGTGTGATTCAGTAAAGTATTAGATTATTGATTGTCATCAATTCATCAATGATTATTTAATTATTACATGTCACTCTGTTCTCCTACAGTACAGTCGCCGCTCTGGTTCACAGCCGTCCGAATATCTCAGCACCTTGGTGCAAAAGCAGGTCAAGCAAGGGATGGAAATGGTCAAGTTATTAAGGGTGAGTTTTATTTTTATTTAAATTATGAAAACTGTCGAATATACATTACACTTTTTTACTGAAAAAAACTTACACAACAAGAAGTATTTTGAGTTTTAAAAACATTAAACTACTGAATCACAGTAAAGTGTACAACATAACTCCGAAGATTACTATATATCACACATTCCTAACTTAGCTAAATCAAATTCACACAAACTGCTGTAAAATGGCTGGGGATTATGCAAATTTGTATATTTTGAGTGTATATTAATGAGGGTTTATTACTGTAAACAAACTATAGTTTCAAAATGTCTCATAGCACTCCTGTGACTCCTGGTAAAATTAATAAAGCAAATCAAGCAACTCAAGAAAATGTATTCTTCAGTTTCACACTCATTGATTATGCCAAAGTTGGTGAGTTGGTGGCTCAGTTGTTTAAGCGACAGATTGTAAGATCAAGGCAGCAATGTTGTTTTGCGCCCTGATATGTCACTTAACATATTAGTGTATATTCTTGTAATGTATTGGCTCACCCCTTGCCGTACTTTGTTTATTCCATTCCATATTATTCAGGCCTGAGACCGATGTGGAGAGCAAAGTAAGGTTAAAGATAAAAGAATGTGAAGCGAGGTTACACTTGACGTTACTGTTACATGTCTTGTAGGAAGCGGAAGAGCAGCAGTTCAGTGCCGATGACTTGACAGTAGCCTTAGCTCAGTGTGGTGATGGTGACCCTGTTGCCTGGCTACGTGATAACTGGCGAAACATGATTGACACTGTGGTCACTCTTGCAACCAACTACGGCCACGAGCGAAAAGTTAGTAGAACCCCAGTTATAACTTTGTATCTATTTTAAGTTGGACAGGAGCACAATCACATCCGTTCAGGTTAACTTCATTGTGTTTAGACTTTTTCCTACGCTTATTTTATTTTCGTTTAGAAAATACGCATACTGTTTGCCACTCATTCTCGCTTACTTAAATTTGATTTTAAATATTTAAATCTAATAACTTATAATTCATCGACTCGAGTTTAGACCCGCCAGTTCCTGCCGGTCAGTGACTAGCAGTGGCTATAGTTCTGTTTAAATTTTAGCTACAAAATTACTATTAACCGGTTCGTTTAGCAAAAAATTAGACGTATGTCTTTTGAATTAATTCACCGTTTTAATACCCTGAGACTTATAGTCAGAGTTCTAAACCCTGTCTTGAACGGTTTACGGTTTAGTCTTAGTCATTCTAAAAGAAAATAGTGTTCGTATATTGGTATATCAAATGCAATATTTTGTCAATTTTCAAAAATTTAAAAAAACAGTATTACAGCAGTTGCCTAGAATATGATTTTCAAGTTAAAACAACATTCTTTCAGGAAAACACCATAGGAACCATCTCAGTGTCCGAGGCGAGAGAGGCTCTGAGGATGCACGGAGGCAATGTCTGGGCTGCCGTCACCGAGTGTGTGGAACAAAGGCAAAAGAAGGTTTGTAAATTGGACTTGGGATTCTAATTATATAAATATTGAAACTACACCAAACTTGCAGTTCCAGAAGATTTTTCCTCCCCAATTTTTTGAAATAGGTTATAATTTGTCAAATAGTGAACATATTTTTATTTCTAAGTTTGTGATGACACTTGCAGGAAGAAGCATCGCTTACCTCAATGTTTTCCTCAGCACTTAAAGTTGTGGGATGTTTCCTCTTTAGGTGTTGCATCATGTTCGTTGCATTACCACAATACGATAACTTCTTCTTGCATATCTTAGATACCAAAATTTTTGTCAAACCTGTCAAAATGTTCCCAAACTAAAGAACGCTTCGGAGCCATTTTTTATAAAAAATATTACCACATAAACTAGTGTTCTTAGGATTAGATGAATATCATAGGCATGCATCGACCTGCAGAAAAATGGAATTAAGTGCAGGAAGATAACAAATAAGAATCGATTCACAGAACGATTATTTAATAGATTCTTAAAATAATTAAATTGATTCTTTTTTCACTCGATTATAGCATCACTAGTTAAAAGTACAATTAAGTCAGAATCTTGATTTAAGATTTACCAAACTCAACCACTTAATTTGATATTTCAATCATAAATCCAAAATTTTAAGACTAAAAAGTAATACTCCAAAATGAAACATGTCAAAGGTAAATGAAGTGAGAAGGCAACCACCAATATTTAAAATAGACAAATACCTAACAAAAATTGCTGTGTTTCAGTATGCTGACCTTATGTCACGAGGTAACTTTACAAGAGAAGACATTGTGACTGTTCTGACGGCGAATCACGGTAACTTAGAAGCAGCTTACTTGGAACTTAACAAGTCCCAGTTGAAACCGTTCCTGATGCGTATCTGGGGGCCGCCACAGGGACAGGAAAATGAGAGCGGCAACCTGCTACGGGGAAATCAAGGTCATTTTAATTAATTTTGCAATGTGCTAGGTGCATTTTTTACACTGAATGATTGCAAGATTGTGTGAAATTTGTACTGTGGATAGAAGTAGTCATTCCATTCCAATGTTTATGACGTTGTAGCTAGTTTTAGTGATGATAAATGTTGTTGGATCGAACCATTGACAGAAGGTGCTGATGTAATTATTGATTTTGTTCAGATACGCCAAATTTTTAACCAAGCCAGACTGGAAGGACTTATTTTGAATTGTATAGTGTCTTTCATGCGATGTCAACAATCTCAGTAACAAACACAAAATGAGAACATATAATTTTAGACCATTGAACAATGTCATTTTACATAAAATTGATGACAGCTGTTCTATATAAATCGGATGTCTACTTGGTATCCAAAAGTCAATGGTATGGAGTGTACCTATGCAGCATTGTTTCTTACAAAGATCAGTTGTTTCCCAATGATCAAGGACAACTGGTCCCAGTTCAAAACAATCTAACAAAATACAGTAACTTTTAAAGTGTTTTATAATCAAACTGGCTACCTTGGTAAAAAGTTTCTTGGTCAGAAATTCTAATGTAAATAAAGAGAAAATGTCAGGTAGAAAACCGTTATGTACAGTACTGAAGTCTTGATATAATTTATTATGTTTGCAGATGGGGCAGTGTTAGTGGAGGGACTGGGGCAGGGAGAGGGAAGTGGAATTTCCGAGGAGGTGAGTGACCCAAACTTTCAACGTATCAAGTCTTGGCTGGACACTTATGTGCATCGGTCGATTGAAGCTCACGAAGCTAAGTCCAAAAATAGCCAAATCCAAATGGATAGATTCCCTGTAGATGTTCCAGAGCCCAGGCTAGCGCAGAGTACTCTGGTTGATGATACACTTTCATCTCCCCCAAAAATACCTCCACGACATAAGGCTGTGAAGCAAGAAAATTCTGAAGGAGATTACGAAAACATTTTCAGAGGTGAGGTTGGTAATAGTCTTAGTTCCCAAACAAAAATTGACCAAGATGTAAGCAGTATAAGTGATAAAAATGAAATTAGGCAAGGTGGGACTGAGGAAATGGATGTAAATATGCCAGTGTCAAGTGGGAAGGACAGAGTGGTTAATGTAGAGGAAACGCCTGAAAGCAAAGATGTAAGTAAATTAAACATTCCTAAAAATCAAGAACCTGAAGAGAAAGTCAACCCTAGGTTATCACCAGATACAAAGTTATCAGATGAAAGACAAATTATTGTGGAAAAACTAATAATCAATGGTAAAGTTCAAGAAGTAAGGAAATATTTATTTAATAAAGATGAAGCAGAAAGTTATTTAGAACAAAACAACCTCATTACCTCTGAAAGATTGAGTTCTAAAATGAATTCTTCAGATGACGGACTTAAATCAGTAAAAGCTGATCCTTCAGAACATGCATCAAACAATAAGTTAGAAAATGTAAAAACATCAAAAGTTCAAGACATTCCAGATCAAAAAGGTGAACTCCAATCAAATAATAATCATCCCCAACATCATTCAGTGCAGGAGCAGATTTCAAATAGTACATCCTATGAAAGCCTGTGTTATTCAGAAGATGTTATAGAAGGTGATAATGAATATAAAACCAACATTCCAAACGCTGAAGTCGTAACATCAGCAAAACTTGTCGTTAAGATGGATGCAGCAACAGAAAATTTGGTTGTCTCAAAACTGAAATCAGGAAAGCTCTCAGATAAAGCCAGCTCATCCTCTTCAGTCTCAATTCCTGACAATGAGCCTTTACCATCAGAAAGAAAGCCACCAATGAAGGAATTGGCAATGAATATTGAAACAGATTCGTCCAATACCAGGCGTGTTGTGATTCAAAATCAATTTAATAAGTCTATTAACATCTCAAACAACAAGGTAATTGATGAAAGCGAACCTTTAGAGTACATAGGCCTAACAAATAATGAAAAGAACAAATCTGAAGGTTTAATCAACGTAGTAGAAAACAGCAGCAGAGTAATCTCACCTTCCACACAACACGTAAAATCAGACTCAAGATCAAGTACGAAGAAAGTTTTAGAATTCGAAAGAGAAGGAAGCATCTCACCAAGTGCCTCAGAAATTATAGCTGGTTCTACCAACAACAGCAGAAATGTTAGTCCTGATCCTTATGATTCAGAAGATGTTGAAGAATATTATGAAGAAGAAGAAATTGAAGACGAGGAAGAAGTCTCTGAAGAGGAAGAATTATTAGAGGAAGAAGACGAGAAAGGAATGTCAGAAGGAAAAGTTGCAGAAGAAAACCTTCTTGCCAACCAAAAGTATTCTGTCAACTTGGAACAAATTAATTTATCTGTATCACCTGAACCGTCTATGAAAACAATTCCTACTGCGAAAATTGGCATGCAACCTATCAAAAATGAAGGTGGAATTAGTAGTGAAATGCTGGTGAAGGTTGATGCTGTCAATATTGCCAACTCTAATGAAAGATTGCCTACTTTATCTGACAAAAAGGATGATGCAAATATAAAACAAGATACACAGGATGAAATTGTCCCAAAAACTGAAAAGGTTTTAGAGGAGACAGATTCATTAGACACCACAAAACAAACAAATGTAGAAACAGGAAATTCTGTCTTGTTAATCATGGTAAACCAAATGCATGACAATTTCTCTGAGGTAAAGGAAAGAATTACTGTCACTGAGTCAAAAATCACCGATGAAGAAGAAAAACACCATACAAAACCAAACAGTCCTGAAGAAAAGGAAGCAGTTGTACATATCTTAAGTAAATCAGAGGAAAAAATTAAGAAGCCATTAAAGCGAAAGAAACCTGATAAGAAACCAATGTCTATGGCAGCTAATGACATAGAAAAAGTTACTTTTTTAGAAAATGTTATTTCTTTGGAGGATGATAAAGTAAATGACAAAGATAACATATCCATAGAGAATAAATCCTTGGCAGAGGGTATACTGCCAGAAGTATCTGAAATCATAAGTACGACCTATAACAAAAATAAGATTGAACCATCTAACAACAGCAAATCTAATGAAGACAAATCAGATCAAATTAAAGATAAAGGTGGACAAATTAAATCTCACAACAAACCAGCTAAAAGTAAATCGGATAGTAGTGAAAAAGTTAAAAGTGAACAGTCAAAAATTTCTAGTGATAAACATATTCATACAATTGCAATATCTGAAGAACTAGCAGAAGATAAAACTATTAATAAGACAGCTGAAAATATAGTTCCTGAAACAGAAGACATAAAAGAAACAATTTCAGAGATTGATGGCAGCATAACAGCTGTGTCAAGTAATTTAAAACTTCCACAGGAATGTGAAGAAGTAAATTCGTTAAGTGACTCTGAGAAAAGTACTTCAGATAAGACATCTTCAACAACTACGTCCCAAACTAAAAATTTGGATATGGATCAACTTGGAGAAACAAAAGAAATTAATTCAAATTTGATAGCAACTGAAACGTCATTTGAAATTGATGGTAAAAATGATTCGAGTAAAAGTGATAAAGAATCAAACAATATTTCTCAATCAAACTCAAACACTCCATCAAGTGCAGCTATAAGTGCACTCGTAAGAGATAATACGAGCTCACAGCTGACCACGAATAGTGATAAAATAAATATTCCAACACCTTCATCAAGTGCACCTCTAAGTGTATCTGGAAGAGATACTGCTAGCTCACAGCTGACCACTAATAGTGATCAAACAAACATTTCAACACCTTCATCAAGTGCAGCTCTAAGTGCATCTGGAAGAGATACTGCAAGCTCACAGCTGACCACTAATAGTGATCAAACAAACATTTCAACACCTTCATCAAGTGCAGCTCTAAGTGCATCTGGAAGAGATACTGCTAGCTCACAGCTGACCACTAATAGTGATCAAACAAACATTTCAACACCTTCATCAGGTGTAGCTCTCAACGTAATCGATAGGGATGTTGTAAGTTCACAATTAAGTGCAACCACTAACAGTGATCAAACTAATATTTCCACACCGCTGTCAATACCTGAATACATTTTAAACGAGGCTCTCAGTTCCGTTTCAAGTGAAAGCGATAAACAATCCAGTTTAGGTAAAAACTCATCAACCAGAGACTCAAGCGACAAGTCACAGACAAGCGACAGAAGCTTGTCTATGATTGAAAGCAGGGCTGAAATATTAGAACTTTTAAAAGAATCTTTATCAAGTGACCTAGTATTGGATAGGATAGTAAGTACATTATTCGCGAGTGTTCTCAATCACGATTCGGTGGACATTAGCAAATCTGATGGGGATGAAATAGCTCTGACTGAGAGTGATTTGAAACGGTTACAAACATTTAGCTCTTCAGACTCAGAGGTAAAAACTGAAAGTGATTTCTTTGAAGCACAAGAAGAAGTAGAAGATGAAGATGCTGCAGAGAGAATTTCTGCTGAAAGTGAACCTGAAGATAATATTTTAGGAAATGAAATCGTTAAGGCGGAAAGTTTGTTAAAGACGGTTGAAAAAGATGAAGTCGTAACTCCTGAACAACAAAGTTTCATTGAGTATGAGGTGAGTTTTCAGCTTACAAGTGTGGACCAAAGTTTGTGAAGCTTTTGGTGGTGCTGAATGAATCCCATAGATTAAAAGATGTAAATATTTGCTCCCTGGATTTGTTGATGAACTTTTCACGCTAAAAATTAATAGTTCAGGTTCAACCTCTAAAGAAAGTTCTGATACTCAATAAAGACAGTTTTCTTTTGTGGTTGAATAGCAGAACTTGGTCTTATTTTAGGTCTCCTTGTAAAGAGTAAGATTGCTTGGTGTCTTTGTATTTCAGCTTGCTTGATGTTGCGATCATGAGTTATGGGAAGGAATTTTATTGCATGTTGATTTGGAGGTTTTTAAGAAATCTTTTTAATACTGTATGTAATTTTTAGACATCACAAATAGTTTTTAAGTTACTAGTATGTTGTTATTTAAATTTTTTGGTAGGTAAAGGAAATAGTTCTTAAAATTATAAATTATTTTTTGGTAACATGATACCATAGTTAATCTTTTTGAATTGATCTTTAAAAACTCAAACAAATTAACTAACAATAAATTTTGAAAATGTGTCACTTTTTCTCAAGTTTGTGGTTATTCCCTAGCTGTATTGTATACTGTATCTATGAAGTTTACTACTACAGTTTGTTTCGCAAGTGAAACCCCAAACAAAAAAAGATACGTAGAAGCAAAAATATGTTAGTTCGCACGGCAGAAAAGCTGGCAGGCTCTGTTTGCTGAGCACTTTTTTCTAGTGCCAGGAAGGATGATATCGGTTTGTCATATTAAAGTCTATTATTGACTATTGAATTAACTTTTTAGTTTAAAATGTTCTTTGATTTCTTCTTTACTGGTGTCTGCTGTTCAATAAACAATTGAGTGTTCAGTTCAATCACAAACGATATCAAAACGCTATACAGTATATACTTCCAGTGCGGTGATAGGAAAAAGTGCTTACCCCACAAAGTAACTCAATGTTTGTAAACATACTTATGTAAACAAGCCTGAGCTGGGTTTTCACCAGCTGGCGAAACAAACTTTACTTTCTTAAAAAAAAGTTCGATCGATTGTGATTGGTTCAAACCTTGCAAGAAACTTGTAAAATACTTTTTTTCTACTTACCTTAACTTACTTACCTCAACATTTTAAATACGATGTTTAATTTTACATTTCCAACAATTACATTGTTTTGTCAAATACAAAATAAAAAAAATACATTGTTAATCATTTTCTTTGTTAGCGCCAAGTGAGAAGGTACCTGGCCGAGGGTATAGTGTCTACATATGATCAAGCTGAGCTTGTGGTGAAGCTCTTGGAACTCAATTTTGATAGAGAAGCGAGTATTTCTGCAGCCACTGAGTGCAGCTCTCTTCAATCTGCGCTCACTTTTCTACAACAGGACTGTCAACTTTGTGCAGGAAAATATACCATGAACCAGGTCAGTCCTAATTGTTCACATTCTGTAACACAAAATACCATGAAGTAATAAGTTTTATTCATAGGCTGTCTTCAACACTCGCTGTAAAATTAACAAACATACAAAATTGCTACATAAAATGGTTTTGAGGAACATTGGAGACCCTATCAAGCAAAAGAGGGTTTATGTGTAAAATATATTAAAATATATGAAGTGTATTAGTTTAGGACAACACAATATCACAATTTGAGAAACTTTTGCTTGTGAATTGGGGAAAACTGTGTGTTGGAGATTCAAATTATAGGTCATGTCTTACTGTTGACACTGGTAAACTCTCTAATAGTTAAAACTTACTGTTTGACAAGAAAGATTTCCCAATTTCATCCGTCATGTAAAAACTAACTACAACTGCATTAGTGCTGTGTACTCTTACAAATTATTGTTTGCCACTAAGATGGTCTCGATGCTGGAATGTGAGCATAGATGCTGCAAAGACTGCGCTCTCCACTACTTCACTCTGCAGATCACAGAGCGCAGCATCAACGACTGCGTTTGTCCATTCTGCAAACTACCAGAACTTCACTCATGTGATCCTGATAAGGTGAGTGACCAAATAACTAATTTTTATAATTAACTAGCTGTACCCGCGGGCTTTGCCCCGTTTAACTTCATAAGTATTCGCATGGCTCAATCACGTCCTGGTTGAAGTTCGTTCGCTACGCTCACTCACCTTTAGGTTGGAACTCGTTTGCTGAGCTCACTTGCCTTCAGGTTAGCTCGTTCGCTACGCTAACTCGCCTCCAGGTTGAAGTTCGTTCGCTACGCTAACTCACCTTTTGGTTGCAAATTAGCTGTTGTCATAAATAAAAAAAATAATAATAATGCTGCACCCTGTTGGTAATCCTTGTAACTTTAATGCTATTGAACACCATAGAACAGAACCAATTTGTTTAATTGAAACAGCTGTTAAGATTCATTAATTCCTTTTAAATATGAAAAATCATAAGGTTAACATGGGAAACTCCAGAGCCACTGGGGCGGAGCCCGAAAGCCCGATCAGAATAAAAACTACTTAGTTTTCCTATTTAATGCCCAAAGAATCGGTGAACCGAATTTCAGCCTCCTAGGTAAATGGGAAGTGGGAGAATTAGTGATGAGTGAGTGAGTGAGTGAGTGAGTGAGTCAGTGAGGGCTTTGCCTTTTATATATTTAGACTAGCTGTACCCGCGGGCTTTGCCCCGTTTAACTTCACAAGTGAGCTCGTTCGCATGGCTCAATCACGTCCTGGTTGAACTTCGTTCGCTACGCTCACTCACCTAAGGTTGGAGCTCGTTCGCTCCGCTCACTTGCCTTCAGGTTAGCTCGTTCGCTACGCTAACTCGCTTCCAGGTTGAAGTTCGTTCGCTACGCTCACTCACCTTTTGGTTGCAAATTGGCTGTAGTCATAAATTGAAAAAAATAACAGTGCTGCACCCTGTTGGTAATCCTTTTAACTTTAATGCTATTGAACATCATAGAACAGAACCAACTTGTTTAAATGAAACAGCTGTTAAGAAATTCTTTTTAAATATGAAAAATCATAAGGTTAACATGGGAAAATCCAGAGCCACTGGGGCGGAGCCCGAAAACCCGATCAGAATAAAAACTACTTAGTTTTTCTATTTAATGCCCAATGAATCGGTGTACCGAATTTCAGCCTCCTAGGTAAATGGGAAGTGGGAGAATTAGTGATGAGTGAGTGAGTGAGTGAGTGAGTCAGTCAGTGAGGGCTTTGCCTTTTATATATTTAGATTGACGTGGCAAGAAAGCTTAGAAAACCATTATATTATTTATTAGTTTTACTTTGTAAGAATTCTGTATACTGTTACATTTTACTTTCACGTCACTAACTGACAATTCAGGTTTAACCAATAGGAGAGTGTAAAACATTGTTTATGGTAATCCGAGAACGCGGTAGGGAGCGGGACACGGCAGGCATAACACAATAACTAGTTTTTCAGACAAAATCTTAATAGGTTACGCTAAACTCCACAAGAGCACGCCCCCTCCATCCCAAGAGTTAAATTAAAAAGAGGGATTTGGAATGACATATTTAAGGCAAGGATATATTGATCAGAGGTTTAACAAAAAACAGCGATTTGGCAGCATATTTATACTGGTGGTTTTTGTTAGAAACAATTGTAACACAACAATAAGATGTGCTTGCAATATCCCCCATTAAAAAAATAGCAAACCAGAATCATTCTTTGTTTTACAAACTCACAAACTCATTTCACTGTACTTTGTACATTTAAATATAATTATTTTGAGAAAAATAAAAAAATACTCTAAAAAAATATTATATGTAAGGGCCCAATTAAACTTGTTTACTTGCAAATAACATGTGTTGACATTTGTTCAGGCCCTGGACTACTTCAGCAACCTTGATATTCTTCTCAAGGGACTTTTGGAAGAGACTGTCCATGAACTTTTCCAGAGGAAACTTCGGGACCGGACTCTCATGCAGGATCCCCATTTTAAGTGGTGTGTCAAGGTAAATAAATTTTTATATTAAATTATATTTTTGACCTTTGACCTCTAAAGACTGATAGAGATAGAGTAAACAGAAAAGAGAGTAACAGAATTAAGCATTCACTTAAAAGTTATCTATGCAGGTATCTGTTACCAGGCATGTCCTGCAGCCTGGTAGTTAAATTTAGAACTACTATTCTTGGACTTTTGTTCATAAGGGTTGTTAGTGCTGTAGACAGAAGCGTAGTCTCCGCAGCCAGATGACAACTCCTTAGATTGAAGTTTGAATCCCATTGGTTAGGTCTGGTGTGCAAATAATGACTTCACTCTCTGTGGCAGAGATTAGTGGGGGTGGCCCACATAACATAAACTGACAACTAAGATGGAAGTTGACGGAATGGATGGACATTTTGTGAGTGTCACCACAAATCAGACATTACACTACTCTCTACCTCATATTCATACAATATGTGTGTGTCCACGAAAATGTTTTGAAAATAAACTGAGAGGGGGGAAATGAGCAAATTAGTTGGTTTCTACTTTCATCCAGTGCTCAATTTGTAAAAAATGAGGTTGCCGGAACTGTAACATATTTAATATGATTAGTACCTGTGTATGCCAATATTTTATTTTTCGGAAAGGAAGGTACCGGAACGCCGTTCTGCCGCAAATTGAGCACTTCTTTAATCTGTTCTTGAATCTAATTTCAGTTTTAAACTTGCAGTGTTCTTCTGGATTCATTGCCAATCCACGCCAAAAGAGGCTAGTGTGTCCAGATTGTCGATCAGTCACGTGTGCCAACTGTCGTCGTCCGGTGAGCTTAAAAACAATTACCAATTTGAACAAATATTATGTCAGAATTGCTCTGCTTAAATACTTCCATTGAGTTTGTGTGTACTAATTTGCATTATCGTGTATTTATTAATTTGTTAAAATAAAATGTATGATCTGTTGCCAGTGGGAGAAACAGCATGAAGGAATCAGCTGTGAGGCTTACGCAGCTTGGTTACAAGACAACAATGATTCCGAGACTCAGTTGTCTAAACATCTGGCGGATCACGGCGTCACATGTCCCAAATGTAACAACAGGTCAGATATCACAGACTGTAAAAAGAAGATTTGTTATTGTTTCAAGAACAGTATATTAACTCACTTATTGGTGGTCCAAAACAGGACCCAGCTACCCTTGAGCATTGGGCGTTAAATGAATGGACTTGTATAAATAACAGCTGACCTTAGTAACTAATCGGTCAGCTTTGCACTATCTAAATCATCCTACATGTCTTAAGAAAAACTGGCATTTAAACATTGTTTTATATCTGCATGCCTTCATATTCAGATTAAAGTAATTACACAACGTGTATGTCCAGGGTGTCTACCAACCGGGAAATCCGGGGAAACCGGGAATTGTACTTAAATTTTTACTGGCCATGAAATGTACGGGAATTGTCCTTAAATGCCAGACTATGTCCTTAAATTTTTAATGGGCCATAATTTTATTGATCGCTAGTTGGTTAGGAGCACATAAAAGGTTTATCAGATGTTTGTTTACATTTTCATAATTTATTACTAGAGTAATTATGCAATAAAAATCTCATTAACAATCTCAAACCCATTAATATTTTATCACGACAATCAAGTGTCAAGTCAAGTACTTCCAAGAACTGTTGACTCAGCAGCTAGCTCATAAAAGTTGTATCACTTTTATTCCTTTACAACTTCTTTTTTTATTACTAGGGTAATTATTATTAGATCTCAAACCTATTTTATCGTGAAAATAATAGCTTTATAATGGCTGTTAAATTTCACTTCTTTGCGGCCAGTGCCTAGTGCCATAAAACTGTTTATGGTTTCATATTAAACATGTAAATAATCTACAGTCTTATGTTGTAAGTTAACCCCTTTTTTATGGACATTTTATCTTTAAATTGACAAAACCACAAGCATTGTTGTTTGCATTAATGTTTTATCACTATGTAGGCCTGCTTGGTTTCAAATTATGTCATTGCATTTTCTGTATCTTTGTCTTATATTGTTGGCTATTCAGGTTTCAATGTTTTTTGTTTCCCATATATTTATTTAATGAGTTGTATGCTTTAAGCAATCAAAATCTTATGAACTAGAATGATGTTAGTGACTTTGCTGCTATTATAACCTGATTGTTTGTTACTCAGTTTATATAGGCCCTCCTAAATAATTAGGTCTAAGCCTGGGTATTTTGATTCTTGAAAGAGCTGTAAAATCTATTAAGAAAATGTAATTGAGCCTAAGATAAACAACTACCTAATGATTGTTATGTGTCGATATTAACTTTGCAAATGAAAATACAATAATCTTACTCTGTGCTTATTGCTTATTAATAGCCGCTTACCATACCTTGATTTTGTACTAAGAATTGAGTAACAATATGCATTAAAGATTTTTTTTCAAAAGTAGTCGAGAACCTAACGTTGTGCCAGGGCGAATCATGCCAAATTAATCGGCCTGGATCGGATAAGCTATGTTATGAAGTTTACGTGACTGATGGAGATATTTGTCGCTATCGCAGGAGACAATGATTGCGTTTCTCTGTTACACTATAAAAGCTTTACCTAAAGTATAGGTAGGCCTATGTTTGTTTACTTTCAATAAATTTCTATTTTGTAATTTTTTACTCTTCTATTATTATTTACTTTTCTCTCTGGTACAACTACAGTGAATAACAAGATTAATACAGTTTGACAAATCAGGAAAATTATTCGGTAGGCCTAATGACACCGACAAAGGTTACGGCAAAGTGTCCTTAAATGTACGGGAATTGTCCATGAATTTTTTATCCAGAATGTAGTAGACACCCTGGTGTCTATCTTCTAAAGTGATTCAATAATTGACAATTGTATATACAAACATGAAGACTAGTTGAATATTAAAATAAACATAAATGCCTGAGAGAACCATAATTTCTCTATTATCTAGCTAAGTAAATCTACAGCGTAAACACAATTGGTGATTGAATCCAGGCTAATAGGCCAGAAGCTCTAACATCTAGTGTAAGGGACATGTCAGGATTTATCCAACACAAATAAATTTGTTTCACTTGAGAAACATAGATTTTGTTTTCAGTTATGGAAAAAATTCATCTTGATTCAACTAAAAATTTCAAAGATCAAAATTTAAATTCAATTTCAAAGATAAAATTTCAATTTCAAAGAAAAAATTTCATATGTGTAAAATACAAAATGGCGTCTGGGTTATTCTTGATTTTCTATTTATTTTGACCCAAGGAATCACTACGTAAATTATGCCCCCCACCTTTTTGAACACCCTTGAAAAATATCAATGGTATATTTGATTATTTGGTTCACATAAATGGAATGTCTATTTGCGGTACGGTAGCCTATATGAATTGTCTACTCGCAGGAACCAAAGTCTATGTTTCATCTGGTTCTCACAAATAAAATGTCTACTTGCAGTATCAATGTCAATGATATATTTGGTTCACTTAAATGGAATGTCTATTTGCATGTTCTAAAGTCAATGGTACTTTTGGTTCACGTAAATGAATTGTCTACTTGCAGTATCCTAAGTCAATGGTTCATTTGATTCACATACTGTAAATAGAGTGCCTATTTGTAGTAGGCCTATCCAAAGTCAATAGTAAGTCTGGCTCACATCAATAAAATGTCTACTTGCAGTATCCAAACTCAATGTTAGGCCTATATTTGGTTCACTTAAATGGAATGGCTATTTGGGGTATTTAAAGTCAATTATGCTCGATGATATTAATCTGATTGTTCTTCCCTTTTTCTCTGTACGGTATTTGTAATGTGCTATTTTAGATGATTTGTTGACTAACATATGTTGCAACTCTTGTTTACCTTTTTATTGTTATCTCACAAATAACCCATGGCGACCAATTAACCCATAAGACCCATGTTAAATTTCTAAAAGTTTAAATTCACGTAGAGAAATTACGTGATTTGTATCACCCTGTGGTTCGATTTGTATCATTTCAGATTTATACCTTCCCATGGTTGGTTACTATGACTGTGCTAAATTTCGTGCAGATCGCTTCAACCGTTCAGGAGGAGTATTTGTAAAACAAATGCAGGAGTGTGATATAAGAGCTTCGCCACTCCAATTCACAACAGTTGTCCTATATTGCAGCTATTCCCTATCCAAAGGAGGCTGTATGCATCTGACCTGTCCTCAGTGCAAACACGAGTTCTGTGTTGGTTGTGGCAAACCGTTCTCCATGGGTGCCAACTGTACAGTGTCTGAGTACTGTGCCAAGCTAGGACTTCACGCACATCACCCTCGCAACTGTCTGTTCTACCTGCGAGACAAGGAGCCGCAGTTGCTAGAGAAACTGCTTGAGGTATGGCTAGTTTAGGAATAAAGGCCAAGTGGGATAGATTAATAATACACAGACAGATCTTTTTCTTTTCTCATTTTCATTATTTTTTTTTTTTTCTTTTTTTTTTCCTTTTTCTTTGTGGGACAGATTTTTTTTTAAATACATTTTTAAGAAAATATTTTTTGTCCTAATGCAGAGAATTTCAATACAATGCTGGGTAAAGCTCTTTTCATTCTTCAAGGAGTTGAGGATATGAGGTGTTCATTTTTAGCAATTATAAATTTGCCTGCTGATTCCATCAAAACAATTGTAGTGATTAATATATACCATCATTTATCACTATCCAAATTTTGTATTTAGATATTTTACTACATTGCATTTTTTCTACTACAAACATGTATTAGTACAAATACTCCTCTTAAATTAATATTTAAACAGATAAACTTGTAAAAATGTTTTTGCAATTTTACATTGTTGACGAATATCTTCTGTGTCTTAGTAGTAACTTTCTTTAAAAAGTAACAAGTGTTGGTTTATAATAGCAAAATAAGAAGTTTTTTTAATGCAAATTAGGCCTACAAAGACAATCAATATGCCACATTTTCGACTTATCTCATGTAATTGATTGATTATACAAATTTAACGTATTTAAGATCAAATTTAAATAGTAATTTTTTATTTCCGGTTGCACAGGACCACGGGATAGAGTACAACCAGGAGCAGGGGGGTCCTGAGGGACCTTACGCCCGATGTTCCGTTCAGCTGCAACGGGAAACTCCTGAGGGACTCTTGGACGCAAACTGTGGATTGGCAGTGGAAAAAGCAGGACTTTGCAGGTAACTGGGTTTTTTTTAATTTTAAAGCCACTATCTAGTGACCTTTTTAAATGAAACAGCTGATCTTACACAGATCCACACAATTCTATTACACTCATTCTGCTACTCATATTATATTCACCTTTGACCTTGAACTCACCTTCACCTTGATATTTACCTTGAAATGTTTGTATTGAATATGCATCTGTCTTATTGACGTCATTAAGTCGTTAAGACAATGTTAACGTTAAGTGGTAGCTATGCAGCTTCACAGTTACTGTATTTTTAATGTCTATCCTTTATCATCCGGGATGTATACATCTCCATGCTTGCAGTATGTAAATTGTTGTTGGCACAGTCAGCAGCATTCTACTAATTTTAAGCGAGTTTAAAATATTATTTTACAAGTCTGCTATGTGGAAAAGTTTTTAAAATAATAAAAAGTATTATGTTACATTAAATTAAATATTCTTGGATGTCTGGTTAAAACTACATGTTTTTGGGCCAGTGCCACGTCTAAGGTTTATCCTCTTCTACGATTGGTCATAACATTTCAAATTAAACACAAAACTTGGGTTGATTGATACAAAAACACATTCTTTTGCACAGGAAGGGCACCGGTACATTAAATATTTTTGGTAGTTTTTTAGTACTTTATTATTACTTTTAACAACTTGACAAACACTTGTACGGTAGCCTATTTGTTATAATTTGAATAGAAAACGGTTATTTCTGATTATCTACTTTTATAATTCTTGTTACGGTTTATATCATTTAGTTTATTTTTAGGTGACATTTTCCATTTTGTTTGAAAAAGATCAGCAGTATTTAGATTGTTTGAAATTTGATGCAACTCCTAGGTCATTGGGGTCAAAAATAATTTTTTGCTATAATAAAAAATATAAAAAAATAGCAGGGAGTAACAAAGCTACACCTAATCTCACTCCATTCTACACTCATCTTGCATGCATATTCAGTTTAAAACAAAATGTGTTACTGCATTAGTCAAGCGATTAATTGATAAAATAAACTGTTCTGTTTTCTGCGATGACAGAAAATTCAAGTTTCTTTGTCAGAGTTTTTAACTTGTCTAAAGATAAACTAGATCAATATCGTAAATAGGAAGCATTACGTGGAGCGACTCTGTCGGATTGTACGATACCATCACCTAGAGTCCCTGTGGCTCTTGACGGCGGACGATCTAGAGACGTTAGTGAGGAGGGAAGGCTTACGACTCCCCCCTCGTCCTTATGGCACCCCACCTCTACACTACTACAACGCCCTCATGGAGGTATCCTGTGAAATCTGCAATGTCGCATCATGGAAGAGATTTATAGTGTGATAATTTACAATTGAATCATATTAATATGAATGATATGTGTTTAAATGTCTTGGTCAAAATTAATCTCTTTTGTAACATATACTTACTAGTTAATATCTTGCAAAAGGTTAGTAATTGGGAAGACACACCTTATCTTATTTAGTCATAAAAACAAAAACATTTACATTACTAAAACATATATCTGAATATTAATGAGATTCAAGATTGTTGTTTTTTTGCCTTCCAACAGACACTGTAGTTTTTGAGACAGAAACAAAACATAGAAACTCCCTTTTCATTCAATGTCCTAAAATTGATTGATTGAAATTGAAATTAAAATTGAAATTGATTGATTTTGTCCTAAATTGATTTAACAAAATGTAAATGAAAGCAACGTTGAGTGATGTTAAATATTGACAGCTTTAGCAATCACATACATTTTAACAATTGCTCTGGAAAAATTTTATTTTAGTAGGGTAGAGCTATATTGAATTTTGCTCCACAATTTATGAAAGTATAATAGTTATTTGTGCAACTAGTGAGCAAAGGGAGCTATTGACTCACTCGAGAGAAATAGTTACTCACGAGCCGTAGGCGAGTAAGGAATGGTTTCTCGAGTGAGGCAATTGCACTTTGCACTCAAGTTGCACATTACATTTTTCCTACAGTTACCATAAAACAAATAAATTGGTAAAGAAACGTGACATATTTTTACACAGAAGTGAACTTTTAATATGAAATTTAATGATACGACAGTACAACAGCTGACCAGCTGATTTACAGCAATTGCTGCCAACGTATTTCGCGCGCATACGACCTTGTCTGCATGTTACGCGCTCACTATTTCGTGCCTTCACGTTGCAAATCTGGAGCGAGTGAGACAAAGTAATTAGAGTGAGACAATGTTACCATTGTCTCAACATTGTCTCACTGATGAGCGAATTGGCCACTTTGCTTTCTCAAATCAGTGAGAGAACATGTACATGCACATACTCCAGATTTGCATCGTGAAGGCACGAAATAGTGAGCGCGTAACATGCAGACTAAGACGTATGCGCGCAAAATACGTTGGCAGCACTGGCTGTAAATCAGCTGGTCACCTGTTGTACTGTTGTATTTGTTACTTTTCATTAAATGTCATATTAAAAATTCACTTCTGTGTAAAAATATGTTACGTTTCTTTACCAATTTATTTGTTTTACGGTAATTGTAGGAAAAATATAATGTGCAACTCGAGTGCATAGTGCAATTGCCTCACTCGAGAAACCATTTCTCACTGGCCTACGGCTCGTGAGTAAGTATTTTTCTCGAGTGAGTCAATTGTTCACTTTGCTCACTAGTTACACAAATAACTATTCTTTGTCACTGAGAGCATAAAGTGACAGTTGAATATTCTATAGTGTAAAGCCCATGTTTATTGTACCAGAATCAACTCTTTCCCAATCAGGTAAGCCTATCATCCCAACATATAAGACATGCTTATTTCAATGACAGTAGACATATTACAAATTTAATGGAAGAATCAAACATTTTTTATGCAGAGCAGCTGTCAACACAAATCCTTTTAACGATGTCTGCTGTTTAGTTTTTCATTTATTAAAAAAAAAATCTAATTGACTTACATTTTTCATCATTAACTAAACAAACTGTCTCAAAAACCACAAGATCTTTCATATGGTTGCGATTTTATTAACTAGTACTAACACTTGATATCTAGTAAATGCTTGTTTGGCGTGTGCGTAGGACCCACTTCATTGAGTACCTGGTGAAGCTGATCGGCAAACATAAGTTGGACCCGGTATCCATCTTGGACTTAACGGAAGTCATGCAAGAGTTACGCAGACGGGGGAAACCTCTGCCAATCAGAGCGAGCGGACAGACCGACGCAGACTACACGACTCTCTGCGCTCAGGTACTGACTCTAGCTGCTGATTGGTTGGGGCTCTCGTTTGCGACTTGAACTTGGCCTTTGTTATCCGTTAACCTTTGTTATACTGTAGTAAAACATTTTTTGTTTTAAAAACGTTTTTATTAACTTGATTTCTTGTCTGTTCGGTACAAATTTGCAATAGATTTTAAACTAACTTCCCTTCCCGATGAGCTAGAGACTTAGAACGTAGCTCACAAATGGATGACAATGCAATATTAAAGCATTTAATTTTCATATTTCCCTTGGGCTACGTCCAACCGTTTACATAACCGTTCACTATATGGCCAAGTAGTTGAGTGGTAGTCGGCTAAAAATCTGAAGCCGGTCTGAATATGTGAAAGTAAAAAAGTACACAAAAGTATCCGAGTTGCAAACCTAAGTACTGTTTATCCAATTTTACATGTAACAGCCGTTGTCTTGAATGTTGAACTTTTAGAACACTGATCCGGTAAAAAATGATTAAAAAAAATTAAATTTGATTAGCTACAGGATTGCTGGGACAGGGGTATTTCAAATTTTAATTTGAGGTTCAATTTATTAGAAAGCATAGTGTACTAACTGGATGTAAATAAGGGGTGTGTTTATTTTACTGTTATTATAACAGTACCTACATAAGTTCAAGATGGTGTAGGGTTCCACATTCGAGTGGTTAGTTGTAAGAATACTGCCGTACGTTTGTATTGGCCTACTTTAACAATTTTAAGAAATTGATTTCATGGGAATCCAAAGCTGATTTTGAGTATGTTTGTAATTTGTTTAGCATCTAAATTTGTTTCCTTTGGCTTTTACTATAGAAAATATTTAGTAGGCATGACTTTTTTGTTTTGTAACAAAATTATTTTTAAATAAATTTGATGTTAAAAATAATATTAATCATATCAGTCTTGTGTCTTACTAAAGGTTACTTTTTCTAAAGTTTCCTTTCCTTTAAAAACTATCATTTTTGTAAATACAGTAGAACCCCTCATATTCGACCTCGGAATAACCGACTCCTTGGGATATCCAACCTAGTGTCCGACCGTCTACTTGTTTCCTGTATGGGGCGATAACTCCGAGCGCGATCAGGTAACCAAAAGGCAGATAGGGGATGTTTCTGTAATTGCGGCAGACGATCACCACTATCGCTGATAACAGGACTGCAAGTTACACTCACGGGTGTTGCCGCCGTCACAGGAGACAATTACCAAAGTCACGGAGACTGCAAGTTACGCTTACAGGTGTTGCCACTGTCACGGGAGACGATTACCAAAGTCACGGAGACTGCAAGTTACGCTTACAGGTGTTGCCACTGTCACGGGAGACGATTACCGAAGTCGCGAAGACTGCAAGTTACGCTTACAGGTGTTGCCGCTGTCACGGGAGACGATTACCAAAGTCACGGAGACTGCAAGTTACGCTTACAGGTGTTGCCACTGTCACGGGAGACGATTACCAAAGTCGCGAAGACTGCAAGTTACGCTTACAGGTGTTGCCGCCGTCACAGGAGACAATTACCAAAGTCACGGAGACTGCAAGTTACGCTTACAGGTGTTGACGCTGTCACGGGAGACGATTACCAAAGTCGCGAAGACTGCAAGTTACGCTTACAGGTGTTGCCGCTGTCACGGGAGACGATTACCGAAGTCGCGAAGACTGCAAGTTACGCTTACAGGTGTTGCCGCCGTCACAGGAGACAATTACCAAAGTCACGGAGACTGCAAGTTACGCTTACAGGTGTTGACGCTGTCACGGGAGACGATTACCAAAGTCACGGAGACTGCAAGTTACGCTTACAGGTGTTGCCGCTGTCACGGGAGACGATTACCGAAGTCGCGAAGACTGTAAGCTACGCTCACGAGTATTGCCGCCATCGTGGGAGACAATTACCAAAGTCGCGGATACTACAAGTTACGCTTACGGGTGTTGTCCCGATCGCAGGATATGGCCGGTCCCATCAAGGTAGGACATGAGGGGTTCTACTGTAGTTAACTTAAAAAATACATGTCATTCTGGTGTACAATAATTGTAATCCAATACCTGTTGTATATTATTTCAATTTAGTTTAAACACTTATTAATTGTTTCTTTTACTTTGCAGGTTGTTCAAGAACAAATTCCTTTGGAATAAATTACCTGCTTTGGAGTTACAAATTAAGTACCGTAACAACATCCTTCTCACCAAAAGTGTCCTTACTGGAACTTATGACATTGAAAATGTAAGAAGGCATAATACATAATGTATTCTCGATCAATGTTTCCTTCCGAATTCCTTATGGGTAAAAATACCATCACATTCATGCTTAAAAATGCTACAAAATCAGGGAAAGTTGATGTAAGCATGAAAAATGTTTTTAAAATATGTATAAGTAATATTTGTACCTAATTTTTTATAATGAATGTATTGTTAACTTTTACCGTATTGACTGATAACCATTGACTTTTGGTAGGGCAAGTAGTCTTCATCAGACAAAGTAAGCTAGAAAAATCACGATTCTGCACTTGTTTCATAACCCTACCCAGAGTGAATTGTAGCTTGGATAGAAATGAATTCAAATCAATATTGACTATAACGGTTAGAGTTGTTTAAGTTATTTCAAATATCTGAAAAAATAATTACAATATTTTGTTATGTTTTAATTTTTAATATCAACAAAAGATTGTATTTCTAAATTTAACTAGGCCTTCTATCTGCTTTTATATTCTGGTCATTTTTTTATCACTATAGAATTTGTTAGTTAAATTTAATGAATTATAAACTGTAAAGTTACATGTTATAAATTTGTAATATCGTTAGGTTTGATTGTTCATTTAGTTAATTATTTATTGTTTATTTGTTATAGATATTTTTTGTTACATCATTAAAGAACTTAAATTATTTTATTATTAGTTTATTTTACCTAAATAGGTACTTCTCTCCCTCTTTTAAAAACTAGTCTTATGTACTCTAGCCATTACACAAGTGTACAGTGTTGTACATGCTCCAGACCAACATGAGACATCTTCTGGAGATGTTATATCTTTTAAGTTTTGTGTTCCTGTGAGCTTTTATGTTGACAACATTATCTTGAATCGGTATTGACACATAAATTGTCTTTACTTCATTTAGATTTTTATTTTGTTACTCTTTTTGAACTATCATGAGTTAAAGAAATTAATACAAACCTTATAAGAAGTAAAATGCTTATGGAGAATAGTCAGACTCAAATTTTTCCATCGAAATGAGCTTTGGCCGCCACTAGGATGCACTCCTGTGGCGGCCGTACTATTCTACTCTATCTCTCTCTCACTAAGCCGATTCTTTGTCTCACTTTCTCGGACTCAAGTCAGTTGACTTGTCCGTGCGCTCGCGATAGTAGCGCCTTCCCTTCCTAGCGGCCGCCGCGGGAACCATCCAATATTTAAATATTACCAGACTGAATTTTTACCATAGGCAATGCGCTTTTTATAAGGTCTGTATTCATTGGTATTGTAAAGTGAGATGCTTGAGTGATATCTCCCCTAAGAAAACGATTATCTACAGTTTGAATGAGTTGGATTTGTGAATAATAAAAAAAACAACTAGACATAGATAGCCATAGAGGGTCTCATTTAAAGCTATATAATATCACATAATATCAATAATCAGTCTATGATCAATCTATGAAAACTAGAAGGCACATTTGGGTCTGAGAGCTGTGCATTAGTCAATGTATTGAACAATGACTAGAGGTCGTCCAGTGGTCGTAAACTCGACCAAAAATATGTAATGAACCAACTTCTCTATTTTTACCCCATGCTGTAAGTAAATGAAACATGTGATTGGAATTGCTTCCATTTGTTTAGATTTTCTGTTTATATTTCATCACCAGCATGGCAAACCATAAGGCCCATGTTAATTTTTTTTATTTTAAATTCATTTTTAGTGCTTATTGTTTAACCTATTTAAATTTATAAAGGGATTCTGCACATCTACAAGAAAATATCTTTCCAACAGCATGCGTAGTGATGCACACGAGACGAGAAAAAAGGTTTTAAATGAACATGCTTGCCTATAGATATCTTTTATTAGTATTAATTTTTCCCTCTATACCATAGTATATGGTGAAGGTATTGTTTTTGTCAGAATTTTCGAGTATGAGTTTTGAGCGAATATTTCCAATTTGTGTCCCCCTGAAGTCTGAACCCCAAAAAGTGGTTTTCAAAGTTATGTCTGTGTGGATGTGTACGGAGCTGCAGACCACACCTGTAGTCTGATTGAGATGACATTTGGTATGTAGGTAATAATCCATAGTATCTCCAGGTATTTATTTTTCCTTTTTTCAAATTTTAAATTGAATGGTGATTTTTCTATAAAATCCCATCAAATAATAAAAAATCAAATTTTCTCAAAAATGGTACAAACGATTAAAAAAAATCTGTTCAAAAGTTATTGTAAATTGTAACTTATGCTATTTTCCCATAAAATAATGGAAAATCAGATTTTTTTAAAGCCAGTTTTGATTAAAATTAGTATGTACTCCTTATAACTAAATAACTTCTGTATCAGCATTGTCCTTATAAATCTAAAAAAATACTGCAACCCCTATAGCTGAAAAATTATGGTTCAAAAGTGAATGCAGCTTTTGTGATTTTCCCTATAAAATATCATTAGTTACTCCCACCACTTACTTACTCATGATTAAGGTTGTTGACAAGTTAATTAAAGAAAGTATTTGTTAGATTGATGATAATTTTTTTTTACTATGTTTTTACAGATTTAGTCTGGAAAAATTAAAATAATAATTACAATATGCTTATCAGTCACCAACATAAAATCTAAACATGCGTGGGAGAATAAATTAAAACAATACTGTATTTGAAAAAAGTAGTTTATAATTAAGTAAGTTGAAAAATAAGTATAATGAGTAACATCACATACTGTCAAGAAAAGCATCCAATAAAGATGTCTTCTTTTTTGGCATAGGTGTAAGTTGCAACGCTTTCTGCATACGTTGCTGTTCTTTTACAGATATTTTCTTGAAATATTTCTGATCTTTACCTTTGTTTATAGCATGTTGTGTCTTGTTTATACTGACAGAGGTACTTTTTACACTTTCAACTGCAGCAATATTCAAACCAGCATATTTAGCTATCTTCTTCTTTTTCTTCTTTTTTCCAAGATCTTCAGCAACAACTACATCATCGTCTTCGTTAGTAGACTCTACTATTGGTTTTCTTAATTGTATTGGTGTCGTCTTGGAGCAAAATTTACATTTGAATACCTAAAAAAGCGAATTTCAAAAATAGTTCACAGTTAATAAAATTGTTAAAATGTACAGTAGTGTTGTTGGCCATTTTATTTGAGTAGATGAACTTAAGAAAGAATTGGTAAGAAAATAAAAAATACTTAAAAAATTAAAACAGGTTAGTAGTTATGGAAGGAGAGGATTTTATGGAGAATTGAAATGAAATTGAAAATTTTCATATATGTGTATTTGTGATTGAAAGTTGAGGGTTGGTGTTTGTTATTGAAAGTGAAAGAGAGAGAAAGAGAATGAAAGAGAAAATGTAGGAGGTAGATGGTAATGAAAGAGAGAGGGATAGAGAATGTTTGGGGGTGGGAGCGATAGAGAGAGAGAGTGAAAGAGAAAATGGGGGAGGTAGAGGGGTATTGAAAAGAGAGAGAGAGAATGTGAGTAGGGAGTGAGAGTGAGAGAGAGAGAGTGAAAGAGAAAATGGGGGAGGAAGAGGGGTATTGAAAGAGAGAGATAGAGAGAGAGAGGGGAGATAGAGGAGTGATAGTGAGTGAGAGAGAGAGAATGAGAGTGAGATGGTGATTGTTCATGATGATGTAACATGTCATTGTGTTATGTGTGTGTGTGTGTGTGTGTTTTTATTTTTATTACTGCTTTATTCTGTATTACTTGGTATAGTTTATTATCAATTACTCTGTTATAGGTGTTGTACATTTTAATGGATAGTAGTATGTTTTTATAGTCTGTAAAATTAAAAGATTTGGGTAAATTCTTTAGTCGTGGTATGGTATCTTTCAATGTCAGGTCCGTGAAGTTGGCGTACCCATATTAGCGTATCCACTTTTGATCATACCAATCGTTAGTTCATCGTTAGTTCTCGATAGTTCCCAAATTTTTTCGTTAGTTCTCAAAAAATAAAAAAGTTATAGCCGATTATAAGTGGGTACGCTAACTTCACACTTCCGGGTTCTAGCACGCGCCGTTTTCTGAGGAGAAATGTTTACATCTATATACCAATCGTTAGTTCTTCGTTAGTCCTCGATAGTTCCCAAATTTTTTCGTTAGTTCTCAAAAAATAAAAAAGTTATGAGGCATACAAAGTGGGTACGCTAACTTCACAATTGTACAATTTCCAGCGGGAACAGTTTTTTTACTATAAATGCCTATATCTATATACCAATCGTTAGTTCTTTGTTAGTTCTCGATAGTTCTCCAAAATTAACGTTAGTTCTCAAAAAATAAAAAAGTTACGAAGCATAAAAAGTGGGTACGCCAACTTCACAGTTATAGAATTTCCAGCGGGCACAGTTTTTTTACTATAAATGCATATATCTATATACCAATCGTTAGTTCTTCGTTAGTTCTCGATAGTTCTCCAATATTTACGTTAGTTCTAAAAAAATAAAAAAATTAAGAGGCATACAAAGTGGGTACGCCAACTTCACAACTATAGAATTTCCAGCGGGCACAGTTTTTTTACTATAAATACCTATATCTATATACCAATCGTTAGTTCTTCGTTAGTTCTCGATAGTTCTCCAATATTTACGTTAGATCTCAAAAAATAAAAAAGCTACGAGGCATACAAAGTGGGTACGCTAACTTCACAATTATAGAATATCCAGCGGGCACCGTTTTATGACTATAAATGCTTATATCTATATGCCAATCGTTAGTTCTTCGTTAGTTCTCGATAGTTCTCCAATATTTGCGTTAGTTCTCAAAAAATGAAAAAGTTACGAAGCATAAAAAGTGGGTACGCCAACTTCACAATTATAGAATTTCCAGCGGGCACAGTTTTCTAAATAAAAATGCTTATATTTATATACCAATCGTTAGTTCTTCGTTAGTTCTCGATAGCTCTCCAATATTTGCGTTAGTTCTCAAAAAATGAAAAAAGTTACGAAGCATAAAAAGTGGGTACGCTAACTTCACAATTGTACAATTTCCAGCGGGAACAGTTTTTTTTACTATAAATGCCTATATCTATATACCAATCTTTAGTTCTCGATAGTTCTCCAATATTTACGTTAGTTCTCAAAAAATAAAAAAGTTAAGAGGCATACAAAGTGGGTACGCTAACTTCACAATTGTACAATTTCCAGCGGGAACAGTTTTTTTTACTATAAATGCCTATATCTATATACCAATCGTTAGTTCTTCGTTAGTTCTCGATAGTTCTCCAAAATTAACGTTAGTTCTCAAAAAAAAAAAAGTTACGAAGCATAAAAAGTAGGTACGCCAACTTCACAGTTATAGAATTTCCAGCGGGCACAGTTTTTTTACTATAAATGCATATATCTATATACCAATCGTTAGTTCTTCGTTAGTTCTCGATAGTTCTCCAATATTTACGTTAGTTCTAAAAAAATAAAAAATTAAGAGGCATACAAAGTGGGTACGCCAACTTCACAATTATAGAATTTCCAGCGGGCACAGTTTTTTTACTATAAATACCTATATCTATATACCAATCGTTAGTTCTTCGTTAGTTCTCGATAGTTCTCCAATATTTACGTTAGTTCTC